GCAGCCTAATTCTGAGGTACAAAATTCTGAATAGTCATGTTAATGTAATAGTAAATAATTCATCGAAAAATGTTTACCTAAAAAAATGATCAGTCTTTAAATTCTCAGTTAATTTGACCCTATTTCACTTGCTGAATAATGATTTACAAAGATTACCCGTGTAACAGATCTACCGTTAATTTCCAATAGTCATTCCCACTAAACTATCCATGTGCACTATATGAATGTCAGACTGACTAGAATCTCAACTGGTAGTGCTCATATTACCATGCTCTGATCAATGAACATGTCCCCTCCTGAGACCTCTGAGCAGGTGGATTTTTAGCCAAGCGGTCATTTATTGCAATAGAACAACATGCTATTTTCTGTTACCTGTAGTCCTTACTACTGATTTGCCCCCTCCTGGTGTACAACAGTTTTCACCTCTGTTCCCAGCTGATCAAAGTTCATTAATTAATAAAAAAGTTCTCAGAGTTTTGTAGGTTAGTGGAATCTTAACTAGGCCTATCCTGTAGGAATACCAGACTTCTGTCTATTTCAGTATTATATTAATTCAGTGCCAATGATCTATGAAACATACCTCAGTCAGTCACGTTCAGATGCACAAAGCAGCTGATGGATACATTCTTCTTTTATGCAGAGGAAATCATATTGTTTTTCAGTGGATGCAGTCTGGTAACTTGAGAGAACTTTGGTCTTCTACTGGGAGTCGAACTTCCCTGGAGTGTAAGAGGCTGTAGAAGAAGCAATCACATCAGAAGTGTAAACGTAATAGGGTAATGATGTTGGGGGATTTAAATTTCCCAACATTAACTGTAGTCACAGTGTGAAAAATTGAGAGGGAGCAGAATTCTTAACATGCATCCAGAAGAACTATTTAAACCAGTATGGCCCTACAAGAGACGGGCAGTCCTGGACTTAAATTTAGGGAATGAAGTTTTAGACAAGTGATTGAAGTATTATTGGGAGGCATTTTGCAGACAGTGATCATAACTCTGCTAAATTCAAGATTGTATGCCAAGGACAGTATAGGCCTGAAATCTTAAGTTCTAAACTAGGGGAGTTTAATAAGATCAGATATGATTTGGTCAGGGTGGACTGGGAGCAGAAACTTGTAGGTACAGCTGTGTCACAGCAACAGATTCATTCAAGAAAGAAATGGGGACAATACAGGACCAGCGTGTTCCAATACATAGAAAAGGTGGGTCCACCAAATCCAGTGAACTTCGGATGTCAAGGGATATACAGGTTAGGATAAAGAGAAATAAGGAGACATATGGTAGATACTGAGGGCTGAAAACAGCAGAAACCCTAGAGGAGCATAGAAGGTGCAAGAGGGAACTTAAAAAGATCAGGAGAGCAAAAAAGAGGGTGTGGAAGGATAATGGCAGGTGACTTAAAGGAAAAGCCTAATTATTTTGCAGGTACATTAAGGGTAAAAAGATAATTAGGGAAGGAGTAGGGCTCAAAATGACCATGTAATTTGTAAGTGGAGCCTGAAGACATAGGTAGGGCTCTAAACGAATAATTTGTGTCGATGTTTACTAATGAGAGGGCATGGAAATTGTGGAGAAAGACTGAGATATTTTTAAAATTAGCATAGACAGAGGACATTTGAGTGGTCTGGCAGGTTTAAACATAGATAAACCTCCAGGACTGGATAAGTTGTGTCATAGGCTGATGGTTGAGGCAAAGAAGGAAATAGGAGGGGTGTTGGCAATAATTTTCAATTTCTCCTTGGCCACAAGAGAGGTGCCAGAAGCATGGAGGGCATCCGGTGTTGTACCATTATTCAAGAAGAAAAGAAGGGATAAATCAAGACACCACAGGCTAGTCAGTCTAATCTAATTGGTTGGCAACCTATTGAAAGCAATTCTGAGGGACAGAATTAATCTGTACTTTGAGAAGCAGGGATTAATAGAGAACCGTCGGACTTATTTTTTTGAAGGGGTAGTCATGTCTGACCAACCTGATTTGAATTTTTCAGAGGTGACCAAGTGTTAAGGTGAGGGCAATACATTTGATGTAGTCTACTTGGGCTTCAGCAGGGCTTTTGAGGTAACACATGAAAGACCAAAAGCGAAGGTAAGAACTCATGGGGTCTAATACCATTGTGCATGTCAGCAGTCCCTTCAGGTAGTGGGGCAGGTGGATAAAGTTTTTAAGAGATACTGTGTGCCTGCCTTTATTAGCCAAGGCATAGTGTTTAAGAGCAGGGAGATTATGCTGGAACTGTATAAAATGTTAGTTAGACCACAGCTAAAGAATTATGTGCAGATCTGCAATCCTCATTATAGGAGGGTTGTGATTGAACTGGCAAGAGTGTGGAAAAGATTTAACAGGATATTGTCTGGTTGGAGAGTTTTAATTATGAAGAAAGATTGGATAAACTGGGATTGTTTTCCTTGGAGCAGAGAAGATTGAGAGAGGACGTGATTGAGATGTGTAAAATTGAGGGGCATAGGTAGGATAGACAGGAAGAGACTTTCCCCCTTTGGTGGAGACATAGATTTAAGGTAAGATACAGGAGATTTAGAGGGGATGTTTTAGAGGAAATTTTTACTTCCAGAGGATGGTAGGAATCTGGAACTCATTGCCTGAAAGGCTGGGTAAAGGCAGGAACTCTCATAACATTTAAGAAGTATTTAGATATGCATTGCTATGTCAAGACATCCAAGACTATAAACCAAGTGCTAGAAAATGGGATTAGAATAGTAAGGTACTTGTTTTTGATCGTAAATATGGATTTGATGGGCCAAAGGGCTTTTTTTTTTTCTGTGCTGTAGACCTCTCGCGCTTGGTCACTAAATTGCATCCCAGTTGTCATCAAAGAACAAGAGACGATGCTGTGTGGCATACATTACTGTGGTGTAAGATGGTGCAAGGGATATGGGCCCTGACAACTTTCCAGCAATAGTACTGAAGAATTGTGCTCCAATATTATCTCCACCCCTAGCCAAGCTGTTCTCATGCAATTACAACACTGACATGTATCCAATCTGAACAATTTTTTTTGGACATCTTCTGTCCACAAAAAGCAGGACACGTTTTATCCATCATCAGTGTGGTGAAAGGTGCCATTGACAGTTCTGTTAAATGGCTCTTCATCAAAAATAATCTGCTCACTGATGCCTGGTTTGGGTTCCACCAGCAACTGGGGGTGGCAGGTCATGGTGACTGCTAAATTACGAGTATATAATAGGCATTCCAAATGTACCTGCTGATTAGATGCAGTTTTATGAATGTATTGAACAAATTACAAATAAATAAATAGAGAATGTAGCAATGAGCATGTAGTTTATTAGAATGGGGCAACAGATTTCCATTAGTAACAACAGTGAGCCTCCGATTGTATTTGAGATCATTATTGTTGCAGCAATTGTATTGAACAAGTGATTGAACAGTAATTGAAGAAATTGATAATTGGTTTTCTACTGGGATCCGAGCAAATTTTGCAGCCTTAAAGGGACAAGTCACTTCAACCACATATTTACCACTCCATCAGAAAACTTTATTCAATCTGGTTAATTCCTCTTTGAGGAATGAGCTAGGATAGTTAAATACTTCCTTGCTGATATAACTTTATACACTCCTACCATATTGTTACCAAATAATTATCATCTTCCTTGTTACAATGAGCATTTTCATTGAAGTTGTCCTGGTGAAGAAATAATTATGGTACTACCCATTCTTGAAATCTGACTTTAGCCAGGATTTTCTGATTGCCAGACGGCTGTTAGTCCAGAGTACCTGAAAGTTGCAAATGGGGATCCTGTGGAATTCATAGTGTAAGAGATTCAGAAGGAATTGCCTTGGAAATTGAAGATTCTAGTGGACATTTCCTTACCATCTGAAACCTTGAGTCTCCATTTAAATCAGAAAATTCAAAGGGTGCCAATGCAATTAAGTAAATAGTTGCTGACAAAAAGTTAAGCTATTAAATACGTAGTTTGTCAGGAGTTAGACTATTCAACAGGCCCCATATTTCCTTCACACACAGTCCCGACCTTGACCTGACTCCCCCACCCCTCCTTCCCTACTCTGAACCCGACCTGACCCCACCACCACTATCACCACCTTCTAATCTGTCAGACTCCACCCATCCCCGCACTACAACTGCCACATGGCTGGATTCTTGCCTTCCTCAGCTGACTCCTCCTGCCCCACCAGACTGAGTCCTCCAGACTTGACACCAACTCTCCCTGCCCTCAATCGAACTCTTCTCTCTCCTGCACGTCCTGACCTAACTTAAACACTGCATCACTTACCTGGTCCCTTTGACTCCAGCACCCTTCCTACTTGGCATCCTACACTCCTGGCACCATACCCCTTATTCATCTGCCATCCACCCCCTTGGCATGCTACCATCTGGTATTCTTATCCCCTCGCTATCTGGCACCCTACATCCCAGCATGCTAACATCACAATTTACCTTATGTACTTATGGTTTGATAGCTGCTTTCAAAATGGCTGCCAGGACCTTTAAATTTCACAGTATGACAGCTGATTACAGTGAAAAGAGAGTGGGGTTTGCTTTCCCCGACAGTTCTCTACTTTGAAAGAACTGTCAGAATGGACGTATGACCAGGTGGAATCTCTTTAGAAATGCAGCTGTCATTTCAAAAAAAAAGGGACTAGAGTGGCAGTCTGTGTGAGATTGTCTCTCCTCAGAACATCCAGTCTTTTTGTTTTAGTAAGTTTAGGGAAATGAACAATAACGTACCCAAGTTAATGCAATGTGTTTTTTAATTGATAATTTTCTGATTTAGTTGCTACACGAGCATAATAATGTGTGAGAATATGTCTTATTTTTAACCTAGTGCAGAGTGTTGTAATGTGTTCTTGCTTCCTGCCTAAAGCATGAAGAATTATAAAGAATATATTCAGATTAATGGAAAATTAATCAGTCCAACCTCACCCGACTAATCATAAGTACTTTTCAATTGAAGTAAGTTTGCCTGACGGCCGTTATATTTTCTTTCCTCATTTGATTTCTGTAGCATCGAGGCCTCTTGGAGTCCCTTCTGCCAGCCTGTTGGAAGCAGATAGTGAGACATTTACATGCCAGTGGTAAGTGATCTTTGTGAGTCAACTCGGATGTTTTTTTTTTCAAAAAACATTTTGTGTATTTTTTCCATCTGAGAAATGTAATTTTATCAGTGTAATCTTCATGTTTTTCACATGAAATTCCAATTGAAAGCATTTGTGATTTATGTCAAAGAATGAAAGGACTTAATTGAAAGAGAAACACTTTTGAGATGAGATAAAATGATATGTAAATAGAAATCGCTTTAGATTCAATGGATACCTCAAATTTTTATGTATTGGTATTCTTGCATGTGGAGTCTAGTTCTTCATACATGCATCATTAGAATTTCTACAGTGCAGAAAGAGGCCACAGCATTAAATTATGGGTTCATTAGTGTGGAATGATTAAGCGATAGATTTTATTTCAACTCTGGTTGCGTCAGAAAGTTGTGGATTCAAGTTATAGAGTTGTACAGCATGGGAACAGACCCTTTGCTACAACTCATCCATGCCGACCAGATATCCTAAATTAATCTCGTCCTATTTATCAGCATTTAGCCCATATCTCTCTCAAACCCTTCCTATTCATATATTCATCCAGGTGTCTTTTAAATGTTGTAATTGTACCAGCCTCCACCATTTCCTCTGGTAGATCCATACACGCACCACCATCTATGTGGAAAAAGTTGCCCCTTAGGTCCCTTTTAAATCTTTCCCTTCTCACCTTAAACCTATGCCGTCTAATTCTGGACTCCACCACCCCGGGAAAAAGATGTTGGCTATTCACTCTATCCATGCCTGTCATGATTTTATAAATCTCTATATGGTCGCCCATCAGCCTTTGATACTCCAGGAAAAATAGCTGCAGCCAGTTCAGCCTCCCCCCATAGCTCAAACTTGCCAATGCTGGCAACATCCTTGTAAATCTTTTCTGAACCCTTTGAAATTTCACAACATCCGTTCTCTAACAGTGAGGTCAGAATTGAATGCAGTACTCCGAAAGTGGTCTAACCAATGTCCTGTACAGCCACAACATGACCTCCCAACTCCTATACTCAATGCACTGCCCAATAAAGGCGAACATACCAAGTGCCTCCTTCACTGTCCTGTCTACATGGGACTCCAACTTTTTCTTTAAATTGTCCCTGCACTTCAGTGTAGTATTCATTTTGCATTTAACTTGAGATTTCCCAGGGTAGGGAATCCAAAACTAAAGGGCATGGCTTTAAGGTGAGAGGGGAAGGGATTTAAAAGGGACCTGAGGAGTAGCATTTTCACACAGAAGATGGTGTGTGTATGGAATGAACTGCCAGAGGAAGTGGTGGAGCGGGTACGATTAAAACATTTTAAAAGACATCTGGATGGGTACATGAATAGGAAGGGTTTAGAGGGATATGGGCCAAATGCTGGCAAATGAGACGAGATCAGTTTAGAATATGTGGTCAGCATGGACAAGTTGAACCAAAAGGTCTGTTTCTGTGCTGTACAACTTTATGACTGAGTTTCCAGGCACACACCAGTGCCATCACTGGGACCGCCTATTGACGTTTCAGTCGGAAACACCCTTGTTTCCTGGTAGTGGTTAACAAAGCATCTGCTTGCCATGCTTCTATGACTGTCGTTATTGATTTGGTATGAGTAGGCTGTCAGAGCTAGTGTACATCTCTGCAGGCGTGCTGCCACTGTTTTCAGGATTCACGTATATGGGCTAAAAAGGAGGTTAGCGGCCTATGGTTTGTCAATAGCAAAAGTGCCTGCCATAAAAAAATTGGGTGAACTTCTTAACAGTGAACATAAAGGCCAATCCTTCCTTTTTCACTTGGGCATACTTTTCTTCTGTCTTCATTAGTGTGCATTTTGGTAAGACAAACCAGGGCAGGATTTATACAGGGCCCTGGGATTGTGGTTGAACAGATATATAGGGGTTCAGGTATAAGTTCCTTGGAAGTGGCATCGCAAGTAGATAGGGTGGTGAAGAAGGCATTTGGCACACTTGCCTTCATTAGTCAGAGCATGGAGTACGGGAGTTGGGACCTCGTGTTGTGACTTTATAGGACATTGGTGAGGCCACTTGAGTACTGTATACAGTTCTGGTTGTCCTGCTATAGGAAGGATGTTATTAAATCGGAGAGGGTGCAGAAAAGATTTACAAGAATGTTACTGGGATTAGAGAATTTGAGTTATATGGAGAGGCTGGGAATTTTTTACCCCTGGAGCATGAGAGGTTGAGGAATGGCCTTAGAGGTTTATTAAATCATGAAGGCCATAGATAAGGTGAATAGTAAAGGCCTTCTCCCTAGGGTACAGGAGCTTAAAACTAGAGGGCACAGGTTTAAGGAGAAAAGGGTTTCAGGGGCACCTTGTTCACAGAGGGTGGTATGTATATGGAATGAAATGCCAAGGGAGGTGGTAAATGTGGGTACGGTTATAATGTTCAAAAAGCATTTGGACAGGTACGTGATTAGGAAAGGTTTAGAGGAATATGGGTCAAACCAGACAAAAGAAACTAGTTTAGTTTGGGAAACCTGTTCAGCATAGACGAGTTGAACGGAAGGGTCCATTTCCGTGCTGTGTGACTGAGACTCCATTTCCACCTCTGCAACTTAACCAGATTCTGTCATTGCTGCTAAAATCCATGTTTGTTGCCTCTGTATGTGACTGTTATAATCGACTCTCTTGGTCAGCTTCTCAAGTTTTTCTCTTTATGACATTGAAGTGATCCAAAATTCTCTTGCCCTGGCATGTGACGGTTTCACCTATTGCTTGTTTGCTTATGGGCCTTTATTGGTTACTGGTTAAGTGATGCCTTTTTTTTTAAATTCTCATCTTTGTTTCTACAGCCTTCCCCATCTCTGTAATCTCCTTAAATCCTAGAAGTTTCTGAAACATCTGTCTTCTAATTTTTCAGAGATAGCACAAACTGCAGATGCTGGAGTCAGACAACACAGTGTGGAGCTGGAAGAGCGCAGCAGGCCAGGCAGCATTAGAGGATCAGGAAAGTTGCCATTTTGGGTCAGGACCCGAAACGTCAACTTTCCTGCTCCTCTAGTTCCTGGCCTACGATGTTGCCTTCTAATTCTGGTGTTTTGGGTCTTCCCAATTTTAATTATTCTTCCTTTTGGTAGTCATGTTTTCAGCTGTCAAGGCACTTAGCTCTGGAAATCTTTCCCAAAACCCCTCTGCCACTTTTCATTCCTTTAAAACATACCTGTTTGACCAAGCTTTTGGTCATCTGCCTGATCTTCATCTCCTTTTTGAGTTTGTCAGTACTTGTTTTATAATTTCCTGTGAAACAACATGGAATATTTTATACATAGAAGGTGCTTTACAAATTCAAATGGTCCTTAACTCTGCACAACGTTGACCTGATCCATTGGCTGTGGGAGCACCATCTATAAGCATGGTGTGTCTGCTGTTTGTCTTGAATTTTTAAAACTTATTCACTCATGGGACATGGGTATTGATGGCTGGACCATTATTTGTTGCCTTTACCTCGCTGCCCATGAGAAGGTGGTGGTGAGCTACACACTTGAACAACTGCAGTCTGTATGCTGTAGTTAGATCCGCAATACCATTAGGGATGAAATTCCAGAATGTTGTCACAATGACGCTGAAGGAATGGCAATATATTTACAACTCTGTCTGGTAAGTGGTTTGGAGGAGAACTTGCACGTGGTGGTCTTCCTCTGTGTTTGCTGCCCTTATGCTTCTAGATGGTATTTACCATGGGCTTGCAAAGTGATGTCTGAGAATCTTTGGTGAAGTTCTGCCTTATATTGCATAAATAGTATGCACTGCTACTACTGAGCACCAATGGAGGAGGGAACAATTGGCACCACATCCACAAATAATCAAATGGCTGCTTTGTCCTGAATAATGTTTCTTGAGTGTAGTTGGAATTGCACTTTGCAGTCAAATGGGCAGTATTTCATGACACTCCTAACTTGTGCCTTTGTAGTGGTGAACAGGCTTTAGGGAGTCAGAAGGTCAGTTATTTGCTGCAGCATTCAGAGCCTCCGACTTGCTGTTGTAGCCACTGTGCCTATGTAGTGAGAGCAATTCAGTTTCTAGTGAATGGTAACCCCTCCCAGAATGTTGATAGTGGAGGATTTGGTGAAGGTAACACCATTGAATATCAAGAGGATTGTCTCTTATTGGAGACAGTCACTGTCTGTCTGTGGCATGAATGTTACTTGCCACTTTTTGACCCAAAACTGGATGTCTTGCGTCATTTGGATGTCGACCGCTTCAGTATCTGAGTCCATTGTGCAGTCGTCAGCAAAAATCCCCACTTATGATGGTGGGACGGTGTTTAAAGCAGCTATATTGGTTGAATCTCGAGCACTACTCTGAGGAACTCCTGCAGAGATGTCCTGGAGCTGAGAGGCTGACTTCCAGCAATCGCAACCATCTGCCCTGTGTTCTAGGTATGATTCCAACCAGTAGAGAGAATGTTGATTTATCAGCTGAAGGAGGACATTAGGTAGTAAACAGGTTATTTTATTGCCCGTATTTGGCTTACTGCCAGAATACTTCACCGGTCCAGATTTCGTTTTGAAAACTTCAACAATCATTGTGCCCTAACCTTTAGTAGGTCTATCTTGCTGATGGGACAAAACATAATATGGAATAATGCTGAAGATGTCTGTAACATTGGCGGACAGGTATGATGCTGAGAGTATAATAATATCAGATTCCTGTTTGAGTCATCTGTGGGTCATTCTTCCAGTAAGTGGCATAGATTTCAAAGGTAATTAGGGATGTCTTTTCCAATTAGAGTGTGGCTTCACCATGCGTGTTACCTGGGTCAATGTTGAGTGATCCCCTCTGTTTTATTATTGTTCCTCGTAGTAGTTTGATAGAACTAAGTGAATTCCTCATCTGTTTCAGAGGGTAGTTGAGATTCAGCTGCATTGGTGTATGTCCAGAGTCACATTGGCCAGACCAGATAAGTGTGCTGATCTCTTTCCTAAAGGGCAGTGAAGAACCAAGTGGATTTTTATGACATGCTAGTATCATAGTTGCTATTTCTGATTGTAGCCTTCCATTCCAGATTCTCTGCATTGAAATTCAGATATAATGCTTCTGCCAATTTTACTATTTTGTTCATCTTTAAATATACCACTCATCCCATCACAGCTTTCCTGACACTTGTATTATCTGCAAACTTTATAATGTTACTCCTAATGTCCAGATGTAGATTGTCTGTCTGAGTTAAAGTTTACAAGAGTCAAAAAGTCAGCACTAAAACTCACCTTCCTTTACCACCACCATGGAAGAGTATTGGCTAGAGGATTATGATAAATTTAAATGAGGAAAAATGGGAGATAATTAAGTAGAATGTAAATGGACTGGTTGGGTTGAATAACTTGTGTTTGTGCCACATATTCCAAGTAATTTATATATGTAAACTGTGTGTTTTCTGTGTAACAAATGTCAATGCTGGAAACAATAGTATAGCCCAGGTGAAACTTTCTGAAATTGAAGAATGTTCATTTACCCTTTATGTTCTGCTGTATTTTTAACAAAGCACATGTTGAAGTTTGAAACCTTATATTGAATGCTATGTGAAAATCTAAACTTGCTGCATCCACCAAATTCCTTTGATAATCTAATTTATTTGAATAAATGACAAACACCGTTTGCATTGGGCAAATTATAGTTGTTAAGGTTACCTTGGATTGCAGATTCCTAGATTTTAGCAATAACTAACTGACCAACTTTGACTTTTCATGTCTTGACCCTATCTGTTTTATTGAGTACTTACCAATCCCTTAGTTATTAAAGGAGAATTGAAGAATTGTGGCTGATTTGAACTGTTTAACTGGTTAGAAAAAACGCCATCTCCTTTGAGTTCTGTTCATTTTCTGTGCATCAGCTGTTTGTTGATTATTCATTATCCTCCTCTGGTACTCCCTTCAGTTTTTTAAAAAATCATTTAAAGTCTGTATCACTTCTTTGTCCTCTAAATAGACTTCAGTTATCCCTGAGCAGCGCCTCTCCTCTTTCTGTGCTAAAAGAAGTTTTTGCTCCTTTACCAGTCATTTTTTGTAATTCCCTTTCACATTCCAAATTTAATTTTTTTTTTAAATCTTAAAAGTTCATCTTAAATACTGTTTACCCAATCACTGCAAAAAAAAAAGCTTAGGGATCAAAGGAAAATGCACAAAGTTAGGAAAGCATGAGCAGAATTTAACTTGTCAAAACCTTGTAGTTTTGCTTTCATGTTACACGATAACATTGGCAAATTTTTATTTTCAACAAAATCTAACAGTTGTTATGATCTAAAAACAGAAAGAACTGTAAATTAGAAACCAAAACAGAAATTGCTGGAAAAGTCTGGCAGCGTCTGTGAAGAGAAGTCGGGCTTAACGTTTTGTGAATAGTTCTGAGGAAGAGTCACCAGATCCAAAAAGTTAACTCTGATTTCTCTTCACAGATGCTGCCAGACCTGTTGAGCATTTCCAGCAATTTCTGCTTTTGTGACCATTATTATGATGTTTTTTCAGTACTACTTGTTTGCAGTGTCATCCACTGTCTCAGGAACAACTTTCACTTTAATCCTGTAGTGTTTTTTTTTTGTCATTTGCTGTATAAATGTCGTAAACCACCTTTTAATTGATTTACTTCACTGAACCTATGACCCCAGATGTGAATGAGACACTTGGGAAAATGTGGCAAATGGTTATTTGATGAACTACATCTGGCTCTAAATTTAGTGTAGTATAGGGGATTATGATCCCGTGCTAGATATAAACTCCCTTAAGCTCTCTGTGATGAGCCTCTTCCATAATGCTTAGATCAGCTGGAGTACTTAGTTGTAACAAAATCCAATTTTTCCTGTTTTAGGTTGAATGCCAACTTTGAAGAAAGTGCAGATAGTTCAATCTACCGAGTAGACCTATACTCTGAGTACCTTTCACTGTGCAGCAAACTTGGGAGCAGTGGCATTCTAACATCTACAGGATTCACCAAATGTCTCCGGTGAGTTGTATGCTAACTAGCAATGCTCAAATTAATCACTGCTATTATCATTGTTTATTGTTTCGTGTCATTTAAAATATCAAAGCCATTGATGAGAGCTGTTAATTTTGTTAGTCAATTGTGTAAACCTGATTGGTTTAAACTGGAAGAATAATGCTTCCAACCACTCTTTGTTGCCTTCTGTCCCCAGAATAATTCCTATGGTGCTGCTTTGAGCCACTTTTTAAACGAAAATGCCTGTACAATATTCCTTCTACAATCAATTGTGGCTCATCATCTAAATTTTTAATCCGTCTCATTCTTCTATTTAATTTTACTTTGAAGCTTTGTAAGAAACCCTCATCTGATTTTCAGTGCAGCTTAACTTGCATCAAAGGGTCTCTTAAAAAGGATATTAATTAAAACTAAGTTTTGTTTGCCCCATGCCTCAGTGGTTGAAAAGTTTAGATTTTTTTGTCTCATCAATCTGTTAAAAGATGTTAGTTCACACGTCTGGAGCATGTGGGACTTGAACCTGGGTCTCTTGGGTCAGAGGTAGGGACACTACCACTGCAGCACAAGAGCCCATGGTTGAATATTCTGCCATTACAACTTGAAGCCTGATTTGAACTGAATTAGTTTAAACACAGAAGCTTTAACTGTCCTCTGTCTTGAGCAAATGATCTAAAGTTCTCTTCTGTTTGGAGACAAGAAATCAATGCTGAAAAGGGTTTGTGTGTGGATGGTAGGTGAAGATTGACCAAGGTTTGACAGTCTAAAAATTAAATAGGTCTGCCAACACTCACTCACCATGCTTTTTGTCATGGATAGAAAAATAATGTTATGAATGTTTAATGCTTTAATTGTTTGCCACTATAAAATTCATGCTGATAAAAAAAATTATAATTGAAATGTATTGTGGTGCACTTTCTCAAAGAACAGTTGATATTAATGAAAAATCTTCATATCCAAAATATCTACTGGAATTGTTAAATCTCTATGGCTTGAGAAAAATAGGTTTGGAGCAATTAAATTTTGATGTTTTGAGCCAGAGTTTTCAATTCTTGTCATGACGATTATTTCAATGCATGCATCTCAGTTTAGATTTATCTTTGAAGCATGGTGATCTATATATTGTATCAACTTGTTACTGAAGGATGTAGATTCAATCTGCTTTTCACAGTTACATTCCTAATCTTGATCACTGTGCCATTTTCAGTAGGGGCTGAACGCCCATCCCTGCAATGAGCAGGAGCTAAAATTGATCAGCATGTTTACATTTCTGGAAAGAACCACTGCTGGTTTTCTCCTGGATTTGAGGTAGATGAAGTAGATTATGTTTGAGAAGGCATTCAGGGGCAGCAATCATAAAATCAGATTTCATTAATATTGAAGGTGACTAAGTACATTCAAGCATGCAACTACTTAACTGAAAGAAGGCTAACTTATTAATAAGTTGAAAAAAATTCTGGTACAGGTTGATTTTAATTGAAAATTAGAAGGCTGCTAATTGAGCGACAGTAACCGGAATAGTCAAAAGATGCAATTTTGGCATACATATTCCGATAAAGAAAGGTGCCCAAACTTTCAGCAGCCGTGATACCTTAAGAACTTAAGATACTAAAGATTTATGACTTTGTAAGGTTCATAATGCAGGAGAATAGAAAGGTGAGTATAGAAAATGAAGAGAACAGAATAAGGAATAATCGTAGAAAAAGTAAAAGAAAAGATGTGCATCTAACATAAAAGGAGAACTCATGATTTCTGTAAACAAATAATTAGTGATAGAGTTGTCAAATAAATATACTCTAGCAGAATCCTCTTTACAACTGAAGATAGATGCAATATTGCAGTGAAAGAGAAGGCAGTAATATAATTGGATAGGGTTGGATAGAATAATAGATAATAAGGTTGGATAGGATAACAGATGCAGAGTGGCAGCCCTCAAGTAGAAAAGTTACTTGTCCAGAAGGTAACCATTCCTGGTTTCTGAGGGAATTAAAGGATGAATGTTCCAGAGGCTATCTTTGCACAGTCTTCCAGTCCTCCTTGGATATGGGATTGATACCATGAGACTGGAGGAAGGTAAATGTTATGCCACTGCTTTTAAAAAGGAAGAGAATAAAATTCAGCAATGATCACTGCAGTCAGCTATTGGATAAAAGGCAACTTTAGAGATAATAACTTCTACAAATGAATTGTAATTTGATAAAGTAGTCAATAAATAACATTCAACAAAGATTTTGTGTAATTTGATTTTGAGACAAAAGTAATTGATAGCCCTGAACATTGGGATAAATTCAAAATTCAGCAAAGGAGGACTAAAAAGATAATAGAAAAAATTATAAGGGCAAACGAGCAAAGAAAATAAAAACTGACATTGAGCTTATTTAAATATATAAAAAGGAAGAAAGAGGTCAAAGTAAATGAAGGCCTCTGCAAACGCGAATCTAGGGAGATAGTTATAGGGAGCAAGGAAATGGCAGAGGAGTTGAATAGGTATTTTGCATCAATCTTTACAGTAGAAGATAGTTGAAACATATTTGCCTTTATTAGCTGAGCAATAGCCTTTAAGGATAAGGAGATTATGATGTAACTGTATAAAAAGTTGGTTAGGCCACAGCTAGAGTATTGTGTGCATTTTGGGAATCCACATTGTAGGAAGGTTGTGCTGCACTGGTGAGGGTGCGGAGGAGATTTACCAAGATGTTTGGGCTGGAGAGTCCTAGTTATGACGGGAAATTGGACAGATAAGAGTTGGTTTCCTAAAGCTGAGGAGTCTGTAAGGGGTGTACATGATTGAGATGTATAAAATTATGAGGGGCATGGGCAGGGTAGAAAGTAAGGAATTTTCCCCTTTATGAAGAGATCAGTGACCTGGGGGCATAGATTTAAGGCAAGGCAGTGGAGGTTTAGAGAGGAAACAAGTTAAAACGGTTTCACTTAGAGGGTGTTCAGAATCTGGAAATCATTGTCCACAATAATGATTGAGGCAAAAACCCACATAACATTTCAGAAGAACTATTTAATGTATGCTTGCAGTGCCAAGTCTATGGGCCATGTGCTTGAAAATGGGATTCGAATAGTTAGGCTTTTTTTGAATGACAGACTCAATGGGCTGAAGGGCCTTTTTTTCTGTACAGTAGACCTCTATGACTATTTCGTTGTTGCTAAAGTTGACAGGGGAGGAATGAAATACCATCATCATCACTGGATAAATAATAATAAATAAAGGCAGATAAGTCCCTTGGCCCTGATGACTTCTTTCTAGGATCCCAAAAGAAGTAGCGACAGAGAGAGAGGGTGCATTGGTTGTAATTTTCCAGAAATTCTTGGATTCTGGAGAGGTACCAGAGAATTTTAAAGCTGTCAATCTGACACTCGTATTCAAAAGGGGAGGGAGGCAAAAGTGGATAACGATGGGCTGATTAGCTTAACATCCATTGTTGAAAAATGTTGGAATCAATTATTAAGGAAGTTATCGCAACACATTTGGAAAATCGTAATCTAACCAAAGAGTCAGCATGGTTTTATGGAAGCGAATTCTGTCTGATTAATCTATTAGAGTTTTTTGACCAAGTCGCAACCAGCGTGGATAAACGTGAGCAATAGATGAGTTATATTTGGACTTCAGAAGGTGTTCAACAAGTATCTCAAAAAAGTTTAAGTCATAAGAGTCCATGATGTTGGAGGTAGTACGTTGACATAGACAGAATTGGCTAATTGGCGAATAGAGACAAGGGGCTGTTTTTCAGGTTAGCAACCTGTAACAGGGTTCCACAGTGATATTGTTGGGACCGCAACTGATCAAGGTCCCATTATACTCATAATCTTCACTGTCCGCTACATCACCTATTTTGGTGCCATCTGCAAACTTACTAACCAGACCTCCTATATTCACACAGTCATTTTGTAAACAACGAAAAGCAGTGGACCCAGCACTGATCCTTGAGGCACACCACAGGTCACAGTCTGAATAACAACTCTCCAGCACTACCCTCTGTCTTCTACCTTCAAGCCAATTTTGTATCCAATTGGCCAGCGCCCCCTAGATCCCATGTGATCTAACCTTACTAACCAGTCTACCATACGGAACCTTGTTGAACACCTTACTGAAAGCCATATAGACGACATCCATTGCTCTGCCTACATCAATCATGTTTGTCACCTCCTCAAAAAATTCAATTAAGTTAATGGTACACAATTTCCTACACACAAAGCCACGCTGACTTTCCCTAATCAGTCCTTGCCTTTCCAAATGCATGTTCCTTAGAATTCCCTCCAACAAATTAGCCACCATTGATGTAAGGCTCTATAGTTCCCTGGCTTTTCCTTACAGCCTTTCTTAAATAATGGGACCACATTAACTAACTGCTAGTAGTCCAGCATCTCCCCTGTGACTATCGATGAGATAAATATCTCAGCAAAGAGCCCAGCAATCTCTTCCCTAGCTTCCCACAAAGTTCTGGGAAACACCTGATCAGGTCCTGGTGATTTATCTACCTTTATGCATTTTAACACCTCCACAGTGGCAAAGTGGAGGGCTGCATGGCAGCTCAGTAGCTAGCACTGCTGCCTCATGCCAGGGACCCGGGTTTGATTCCAGCCTTGGGCAGCTGTCTGTGTGGAGTTTGGACATTCACCTCAAGCCTGCATTGGTTTCCTCTGGGTGCTCCGGTTCCCTCCTACAGTCCATAGATGTGCAGATTAGGTCGATTGGCTATGCTAAATTGCCCATAGCATGTCCAGGGATGTGCAAGCTGGGTGCATTAGCCATGGAGGTTGCAAGTTTACCGGGACAGTTTAGGGGTGTGGGTCTGGGTGGGATACTCTTCGGAGGGTCAGTGTGGACCCAGTGTGTCAAATGGCCTGCTTCCATACTGTAGGGATTCTATGATTCCAAGAACGTTTTTCAAGACATCACTATTTCCCCAAGTTCTGTAACTTCCGTGCCCACCCTCATGGTAAATACTGACGCGAAATATTTGATTAGTATCTTACTCATCTCCTGTGGGTCCTGCAAATATATGGCCACATTGATCTTTAAGGGGTCCTACTCTCTCCCTAGTTATTCTTTTGCCTTAAGTGTATTTATAGAATCACTTTGGATTCTCCTTAATTCTATTTGCCAAAGCTACCTAGTGTTCTCTCCTTTCTGTCCTCCTGATTTCCCTCTTAAGTATACTGCTCCTACTGCCCTTATACTCTTCTTGATAGGTTGAGTAAGTGGGCAAAAAGTTAGCTAATGGAACATATGGGATTGTTCATTTTGGAAGGACTAACACAAGAACAGTATTATTTAAATGGAGAAAACTGCAACACAATGGGACTTGGGGATACTTGTACATGCAACATAGCTAGCACACAGGCGCAGCAGGTAGCCTGGAATGCTAATGGAATGTTGGCACTTATTTCGAGGGTGGTGGAGTGTAAAAGTAGGGAAATCTCACTGCAACTGCACAAAGTGCTGATGAGAACATTTGGAGTACTGTGAGCAGTTTTGGTCTCCTGATTTAAGAGAAGATATTATTTAACTGAAAGCAGTTCAGAGAAGGTTCACTACGATGATCACTGGTATGCCGGGATTGTCTTGGGAGCAAAGACCAAATAGTTTGAGACTCTATTCATTGGAGTTTAGAAAAGTGATAAGTGCTAGGTAAGACAAAGGAGGATGAATTTCTTCTCTGATGGTTGCAAGCTTTTGGAACTTGGGGGCAGACTCCTTGACTATATTTAACACTGGCATAGCTTCTTGATAAATAGAGAAATTGAGGGTTATGGGAAAAATGCAGGATTGTGAATATGAAGAATGCCAGAACAGCCATGATCCTGTTAAATGGCAGAAGAGGCTGGAAGGACCAAAAGGCCTACTCATGTTCTTACTTTTTTTTTAATGGGTTTATGGCCTTTGGATGTTGAAGAAGGTATTTCAGCCAGTGTGGTATGTATGAACTTTGAAAAGGCAACTTTCATCTAAGTACCACATTGATAAACTTGTTAACAGATTTAAATCCTTTAAGAATAAAGGAATAGTGACCAGTGATCCTTTTAAGCTGCATGGCTGCACAGCCACTCAGAGGGTCTGCATGTGCTTATTTGCATGCTGACGCATTCGTTTCCAGTTTCTACTACACAGTGGACTGCCGAGGTCTCCACAGTGGCTGAAGAAATTAGAAGGATCATGGATAATGACTGCGTGGCATTTGTGCCCAGTTAATTTTCGGCCCGAAGCGATAAACACATAAGACACGGGAGTAGACGTAGGCCAATCGGCTCAGTGTCTGCTCTGCCATTCCAAGAGATCATGACTGATCTGATGATCCTCAATGCTCCTTTTCTCCATCGTCATTAATTCCCTTACTCATTAAAAATCCATCTATATCAGCCTTGAATATACTTAACGACTCAGCCTCGACAGCCCATTGTGATGAAGAAATCTACAGATTTGTTTATCATCTGAGAGAAGAAATTCCTCTTCCACTCTGTCTTAAGTGGGAGATCCTTTATTCTGGGATGATGCCCCCTTGACCTAGACTATTTCACAAAGAGAGCCAACCTTTCTGCATCTCCCCTGTTGTGTGCCCAAAGAATCTTGTATTTTTCAATAGTTTGCTGCTTTTGTTTTGTTTCATTCACTAATGGGACATGGGTGTCACTGGTCAGTGTTTATTGCCTGCTCCCAGTTGTCTTTGTGAAGGTTGTGGTGAACTGCTGTATTGTCTACTGTAGTCCATGTGCAGTAGGTAGATTCACAATGCAATTAGTGTGGGAATTCCAGGATTTTGAGCCATCAACAGTGAAGGAACAGTGATATATTTCCAAGTCAAGATCGTGAGTGGGTTGGAGGGGAACTTGCAGGTGGTGATGTTCCTATGTATCTGCTGCCCTTGTCCTTCTCGATGGAAGTGGTCATAGGTTTGGAAAGTGCTGCCTAAGGATCTTTGGTGAATTTCTACAGTGTGTCTTGTAGATAATACACACTGCTAACTCACCGCAATGAATACAGACCAAATCTACTCAACCTTTCATCATGAGACAGTCCGACCTTCTGATTCAGCCGAGAGAAGTTTCTCTGGACAACCTCTAGTGCCAGTATATCTTTCCCTCTGATAAGGGACCCAAACCTGTTCACGGCATTCTATCTGTGGTCTGAGTAGTGCCTTGCATAGTTTTCGGAAAACCTCCCTATTTTTATACTCCATTCCCTTTAAAATAAAAACCAATGTTTCATTTGCCTTTTCTATTATTGGATGATACCTTTAATAATTCATGGATGAGAACTCCCAAATCACTGATCCCCAGCTTTCTGAAGTCTTTCTGCATTTAAATAATATTCATCTCCTCTAGTCTTCCTACCAAATGGCATAACCTCAAATTTTCCCACACTATATTCTATTTGCCTAGATTTTGTCCACTTGCTTAACCTGTCTGTATCCCCTGCAGACTCTTTATATCATCCTCACCACTTGCCTCCCCACCCATTTTTGGGTCCTGTGCAAACTTGGCTGTAGAACATTCACTTTCCTTATCAAGTCATTTATGTATATTGTAAATAATTGTGGCCCCAGCACTGATCCCTGTAACACACCACTAGTTACAAGCTGCCAACCTGACAATGCCCTCATACCTTCACTCTGTCTATTAGAAGTCAGCCAGTCCATGCTAAGATACAGCCTCCAATGCCATGAGCTCTTATTAATTCGCTTAATGTGTGCTACCTTATCAAAGGCCTTCTGAAAATCCAAATATATTACATCCACTGGTTCCTCTTTATCTATTCTATTTGTTACTTCAAAGAATTATAACTAAATTTGTAGAATGATTTTTTTTTTCTCACATCAGCATTACGATTATCTTTTTTTAATCTGTATTAATGGCCTGAATTTGTAAACAAGACATAATTTCAAATCTAGCAGATTATACAACAATCAGTAATTTAGTTAAAATCTTCAGAAACATCTAGGCAGACAAACGGAGTCAAAGTAATAGAGTCATACAGCACGGCAACAGACTCTTCGGTCTAACCAGTCCATACCAAACATAATCCCTATCTAAACTAATCCCACCTGCCTGCTCCTGGCCCATATCTCTCCCAACCTTTTCTATTCCTATTCGTGTACTTATCCAAATGTCTTCTAAACGTTGTAATCGTGCCCACATACTCCACTTCCTCCCTTTGGGAGACAGAATGCAGAGAGGCATTCAGTTCAATTTTAAATTGGCTGCAGAAACAGAGTCTTGGGGGTTAGGTGTGTGTGTGTGCGCGCACACACATCGTTTAAAGTGAAAGGACATACCGAGAAGGGTTTCTGAAAAGCATATGGGATTCTTGATGGTTATGAGTAAGGAAAGTATATAACAAAAAAAGCAAGGATGCTATTCTAAAGCTTTGCAAAGCACCAGTTAGGCCTCAACTGGAATATTTTGTTCAGTCCTTGACAGCAGAACTTTACTTGGCCTTGGAAAAGGTACAAAACGATTTACTAGATTTAGTGATACCAGAATGAGCGGTATTAGTCATATAGAGAAATGAAAGAAGATAGAATTGTTCCCCTTGGTTTTGATAGGGCAGCTGAGCAGAAAGCTTTTCCTGCAGTAGGAGAGGCAGGATTTAAGTAATTAGCAAAAAAAGAAGAGGTAACAGTAGGAAACCATTTCACAATGAGTTAGTGATCTGGAATGCAACTCCTGAAAAGGCAGTGGAGGCAAATTGGATACTACCGAATTGGATGAGTTTTTGAAGGTAAAAACGTATAAGGCCACAAGGAGAAGCAGAGGAGTGGATTTGGGTTGGACTGCTCTACTAAAAGACAGGAGAGGCATGATGGATTTCATGGCCTCCTCTGTTGTATCATTCTTTTTAAGTCAATCCCTGTGTATTCTTGTTCACCCTGTGATCAACCAATATACAATGCAGAAAGAAAGAAGCATGAGGAAAAGGGAATCACTTTAAGAAAATTACAAAATGTCTTGATGCATTCATTTAACACATTTCTGATCTCTTTATGATATAGATTGACTTTTCCTAACCACACAATAAAGAAGATTGAAGATGCCGGTGCTAATGGGCAATCTCAATTTCACGTGGTTGGGATCAAGCGTAGAGCTGTACCTCTTCCTGTTGGAGCATTTCAACAAGAACAGCAAACACCAAATAATTCCTTTGTCACAGTGAAAGCAAGCTCTGCTTCCAGTACAACAGTGAATTCCATTGCTGTTGGTAAGAGAAAGGATTTGGCACTTTTATTTTAAATTCATTATATTAGCCTTCTTTAAGTAAAATAAATGCAGATGCACTGACGTTATTTTGCTCATGCTTTCAAAAGATTTGTGGTTGTAATGAACACTTTCCTCTTTCATGCACCATGGGATGGCTGCAATGGTCCAGAAGAATTTTACTCGAAACATTTTTTTCTAATGTGAACTATAGCCCCTACTGAGAAATTTGCAGTTCATTTGTACAGTGAGCCTGCATTTAGTTCAAATCCACTAACTTTACATTGACAGTCACCCTTTTGAGTTGGCTTGTGAGGAATACTGTGTAATTCCTTAATTTAGAAGCAATTGGGGAAGTTAGCGTACTTTATGTGTAAATTATTTTCTCCTTTTCTTCCTCTCACACTGGTTTTCTTTACCTTTAAAAGAAGCCTAGGCAAATGTAAAACAAATCTTGTTTGATAAATCTGTTAGTTTTTGGAAGGTGTAAATAGCAGAGCCAGGTGGGACAAGGGGCAGCTAGTGGATGAAAAGCATTTGAATTTACAGAAGACATTCAGAAAGGAAATGATAAATTGGCCTTTATTGAAAGGGGATAGGACCATAAGATTATAGAGATATTGTAATTGTACAGAGCTTTGGAATTGTACACAGTGATTTTACCAATCTCCTTGCACAAGGTTGATATACTTGTCTTGAAAGGAATGTGATGAAGATTCACTCAATTAATTGAGAAGAGTTGAACAATCCCACAAACAATGAATCAGATCTGTGCAGTACGGCCCTATCATGTCCTGATGGCAACCAATGAGAAGATGATTGTGATTTTTGAAAGCCTGACCCCTCTTAGATTATTGCTGCAAGAGTTTTTCAGTGCAGTGACTTTGGCCTAACCATTTCCAGCTGTTTCATTAATGAACTTCCCTCTTGAGCATGGTCAGAAGTGGACAGTTTGCTGAATATTACAGAGTGCTGCATACAACTTGGAATTCATCAGATATTGAAATAGACCTCGCCTTCACACAGCAAAACCTGGATAACATTCAGATGTGGGTTGATAAATGGCAAGTTATGTTTCTGTCACGCAAGTGCTGGGAAATGACCATCTCCAACGCTAAAGAATCTGATTATCATACTTTATCATCAATGGCAATAGCATCACTGAATTCCTCCATCAGCACTCTGGGTACTACTATTAACCCCAAGGCTTTGAGATCAGCCACTTCCATACTTGTCTTAACAGTAGATCAGATGTTGGGAAGTTGTAATGAGTAATTCCACCTCCTGTCTTCCTAATGACTATCCAACATCTGCAAGGCATCAGTCAGGAGTGCGATGAAATACTCCCCACTTGTCTGGATGGCTGGACCTCCAACAGCACTCAAGAAGTTTGACATCATCCATGACAAAATAGCCCACTTGCACAGCACCACATGCACAAACATGCACATCTACAAACATCCACTCCCTCTACCGCCAACACTCAGCAGCAGCAGTATACACTACCTACAAGGTGCCCTGCAGAAATTTGCCAAAAATCCTTCCAAACACGTGACCACATCCATCTGGCAGAACAAGGGCAGCAGATAAATGGTAACACCACCTGCTTGTTCCCCTCCAAGCCACTCACCCTACTGACTTGGAAATATATCACTGCTCCTTCACTCTCACTGAATCAAAATCCTGGAATTCCCTTCCTAAGGGCATTGTGGGTAAACCTACAGCACATGGACTGCAGTGGTTCAAGAGGCTTCTTGAGGGCAATTAGAGATGGGCAATAAATGCTGGCCAGCCAGCAATGCCCACGTCTCATGAGGGAATGTTAAAAAAAAGTCGTGTGTGATGGCAGACTGCAATTGCCTGCATGAGTGTGGTGGCTCCAACAATATTTGAAGCTCTGCACCGTCCAGAACAATCAGTCCATTTTGCATCCTAAATGCAGGGGTAGGCATGTCCAGGGGTTACTGACCCTCTGCTCCCACGAGTGAGAAAGTGCAGCTAGCACGTTCACATCTTCCACTGAATTCCAACAGTTAGAGCAATGTACGCTATTCATAGGATGCACTGCATCTACTTGCCAAAGCTCCCCAAACAGCACTTTCAAGTCTCATACCATCCTGTTGTGGAGGTCTACTGCCATTCTTTCTCCATTGATGAGTGAAGCTAATGGAACTCTTTCCCCAACAGCACTATGGATGCCCCCTACAATGCATGAATTGCAGCAGTTCAGAAGGCAGTTCAACACCAGCATCTCATGAATAATTAGAGATGGACAATAAAAGCTGCCCTTGCCAGTGATACTTGAAACGTTCGGGGATGAGAAGCTGTCCTGTGAGGAGAGATTGAGTAGAATGGGCATATATTTGAACTTCAAGAACAAGAAATGGTCTCATTGTTAAAGTATAGGCAATAGAAATAAATGAATGAGAAGGATGATTAATTCTAAGAACTGTTCATAAGTTTTTTCTTTTAGTTACAGTTGGATTAGTAGAAACTGTTGAGTTTTAACAGCATGCAATGACATTAAGGTATTTGTGTACGTATGTATGGCACTTAACCAGTTATCTTTTGCTTGCTTCTAGGAATGACGGCATCTAGCCCAACTGTTCAAATGCATAGAACCCTCACATCTACAAGTCAACCAGTCACGCAAATCCTCTACACAACCCAGACCCAGAACATTACCCAGCTGCCTCCTGGAATAAGTACTCCCATCCAGCAACAGCAATACTGTACAATTGCAAGCAAGGTGCCCACAGCCACTGGAGGGATACAACCTAGTACTATCCAAGCTACTGCTGTTCATCCAAATTTCCATTCTACAGTAACAACAGTTGTTCCTGGGAATACTGTAATGCAAATGGCAGCGACCAAAGTCACTACAGCAGTGCAGCTGCCCACGATGACCACCTCTGTTCATCTTCCTCATGTTGCAGTTACTCACCAGTCCCTTGCTGGACATCAGTCTGTCTGTTCAACTACGACAGTTCCTGTTCTCCGTCAAACACTGCCTAATGCACAGTTTGCTTCACGAATACACCCTATTTCAAGTGCTGCCATAGTTTCTCAAGGACAGCTCATCCAACCTTCCACTGCCCAACCTGTGCAAGTACATCTTCAGTATACAGCAGCTCCCACTGCTGTTGTGTCTGCCACTGCTGTCCAGCTGCCAAGTAGTCAGCCTTTTACCATAGCAGGCAGTCACAACTCTGTTTCTTCTCAGCCATTTCAAAATATTAGTCCAACACCATTAACTATCGTCAGCAATTCCACCCAACAGCAAGCCCAGCAAAGTGTCCAAGTGATAGTTGGACATCAAGGTCAAGTTTACCCTGCTAGTTTTCATCAGATTGTACTAACAAATCAAGGTGGAATTTCTTCAGCCCAGTTGCCACCACCCACCCTCGTGAACACCAGTACTTGTGGGCCAGTGCTTTCTGTTCAACAATCTCCCATTCAAGTTCATGTTCAACAGCCTTCTGTAGGAAACACTCAGTGCAGTACTAGCGAAACCAGTGTAATTAAACAGTTACTACTTCCTAAACCGCCACCTCATTCCCAAGCAGGTAAGATCCTACTTCCTGTCCCTCAAGTGTCATCATCTGTTACCAGGGCTCAAAGTCCACAGGTTGTTTATCAAATGATGGCCAACACAGTGCCTAGTGTTGGTGTTCAAACTCAGTCTCAGCAGCTGGTTGTAAGCCAATCAAACTTACAAATTCTACAGCCGCATGGAGGCCTACAAACTGTACAAATTATTCCTGGCCAATTTATTTCGACCACCAGCCCCAGCACCATTCTCCAGGGATCACCTCTGAACCAACAAGTTACTGTCACTGTTGTACCGAATACCAATTTAAGCAACACACATGTGGCACAAGTAAATACAAATCCTGTGACCAGTATTTCAGGAGAACACAGTGCAAAGACAGTCACCAGTACCCATGTTATCCAGTCATCGCATGTCCCACTCAACCAAAGCAACACAAAAGTTGATGAGTTTGAGGGAGAGAAAAATGTTTGTCAGAAAGCTGAAGATGCTACAAAAATGCTCAGTTCCCAACCTCAAGAACAAACTGTTGGACTGACTGAAAATTCTTTCTTGGGTAATGCTTACAGTGCAAGCAATGGACATCTAAATGGAAAAGTTGACCAGACTGGGATGCTACTTAATGGGGACAGTAAGAAGGAGAACGCCAGCTCAGGGATGAATCATTGTGGTTTCGTGGAGAAAACATCAGCTGTCCAAGACTCAAAAGCTAGCAGTGGAGCAAACTTGACAAATGGGGATCAGATTTTAGAGAAACCTGGTGCAGCAGAAATGAAAAATGTTTTAAAAAGGCCTTTGATCAATGGAGACTCTGATTTTGCTAAGGGTGATCGTTCACACATAGGGAAAGATGTTCCTAATGAGAAAGCTGTCACATCTTACCATTTGGGGAATGGCGAAATTCTTAATCAGGAGCACCAGGATGCCAAGTGTCACCTGGATGGTGAGAATAGTCAACCGGGAAAAATGTGCAATGGACCTTCTTCAGTTTCCAATGTGAAATCACATGCACACACTACAGTAATAGTACCAAATCCTACAGTTCAGCAAGCACACAGGAACTCTGTATTAACAAGTGGAACTGCAGCAGTCACTTTTAATGTAACTTTGCCTCAGTCTCAACATAATGGCAATATGGTTGTACAGTCCAACCCCAACCCTTTAGAATCTTCGCAAGTGACCATCTGTCAAAGCAACAGTACACTTTCTGCTCCAAAGCTTTGCCCCAGCGAAGCTCAGTCATGTCGACAAGCCATCAAGAGGCCTGGTGATGACACAGCTGGTGTTTCCATGGCGGGTATCCCAAACAAAGTAGGGGTGAGGATTATGACCGTTAGCGACCCTACAAAAGCAGGCAGCAACACCATGATGGTAGCTGTCCCTGCTGGAGCAACCATTAATACAGCAACAATAGCAGTAAGTATGTCTTTAACTTTCATGGCCAAATTAAATGATTAAGTGTTTGAAGTTCTTTCGGCATGTTTTGAATAATTAAGGAAATTCTAGCATGTTTGTGGACGTGTATTATGCACAACATTTGAAGCAATCGCCTTGGGTTTTATGAAATTTTTAAATAAAATTGGTCACATTCTGATAGCATTTTTAAGAATTATGGAGCACTATTAAAAAGAAAAATACAATAACTCTGGAACCCAAGCTCTAGTCCAAAATATCTGGTGGAGAGGACTAATGAAAACCTATGGAAACATGAACAAAAATGAGAGAGAATCCAAATTTCTTTTAATCAAATATCACCACCATCTGGGTAAAATAGTTATTCCTCCCATCTCCCCTAAATCTCCTGCCCCTCACCTTGAGCCTGTGTCCCCAAGCAGTATCCATATTAAAATATGTACGCAATAGGTGTTGAGAATATATTAGTTTGCATATATTACAGCTATATTTCAGAAGTTCTTGATAGTCTCTGTTTGGGAACCTGAGAGCCACAATATTAATGCAAATGCTTCCTTTCTTCAAGTGGGAGGGGACTATTAGTTCTAGTTCAGAATTATTGTCTGATAATTTTAAAAAAACTACACTCAAAAAAGTCTGAGAATAGCAAAGTATAGAATGTGGGAAATTGTTCTTATCGTGCTACTTTTAATGATACAGTGCAGACCTGTCTGTCCCTTGGGATATTGAATTGTCAATATTAATCAACATATATGTCCTAATGTCCTCCATGAGAAGCAATGCCATGCAACCAAATTTCTCCCCCAGAAAGTCTTGCTTCAGAGAGATATCTTGGAAATAAATGGCAATAATTGATGAAAACAGTGTTTTCAAAGTCTTGCAGAAAATGTGTATCTTGAAGTCTTATCTATTACGGGTATCTTAGGCAAAATAACGTATTAAAAAATGACTTTCTATAGTTATTTGGAGAGATAAAAGATGGATACAGTAACTGAAAAGCTATTCAGTATGAAGTTAGGGAAATGGCCTGTACAGTATAGGAATAAAGTCTGTTTCATATACTCTACCACCAATTTTTTTCTGCTTATTCACTGCTTGTCATTCTGAACCAAAGCGAATAGATGTTTGGCTAACTGCTAATCCCAACAAATATGTAAGTAGATTTCCGAGAGACTGTAGAATTTGGATGATTTCAGCAACTTCAGGGGGGACCCGTGATTGTGGACAATAAAAGACAGTGTAATGAAATTTGACCAGTCACCTTAAGGAGTTTTTATTGGCAAAGGACATCTGAATTCTATATTGTCTTTCTGAACTGTGGTTAAATATTGTAATATGTATAGTTAACGTACACTTTACTCTGGGTTGGATACTTTGTAAAATTTATTTTAAATTTCAAAGCGGTGCCAGATGTCTTGTAATGACAGTTCTGTGTAGGAATTACAAATTCGGTTTACTTGAAATTGAATTTGCTAAATATTGCAACGTACAACTATGCCCACTACATAGTGCAGTAATGCAACATTTGAGAATTCAATGGAAATAGATTAAAATAGTAATTAAATATATGGAGAAAAAAATATGTGGAGGAAAAAAAAATGTACAACGTAACTTGGACTACATAGCTGTTCATGTAGCGTCCGTCAAATCAGAAGTACCTGTCAAATTCAGAAGAAAAGGCTTTTGGTGGCAAGCAAAAACTGAAGTTTCCTGATGATTCTGTCAGTGGGACAGTTAAATTGAACACTCTCTTGTCCACGGATTCCCAAAGTTTGTTAATGATCATTAGCTTAAATCCTAGAGACTAGAGTATGTTTAACAAGTTTTCAAAACATCCTATAATTGCAGATGGATTACTCTCTTTAAGTGAACTGATATGACTGTCGAAATATGAAAATAGTAATTTTCATAAATAGATGTTTGGTTTTTTGTCATTAAACTCTCACATGATGTTAGATTTTCATTTTCGGTTGTTACAGCCCGTAGGAAGTCAGAAGTCAAATCAGAAACCGCTTTTCCTGCCCCCTAGGCAGAGGTCCAGATATATTCTTCACACGTTTCTCAATATATTTTTGCTGGCTATTATAGAAGACTGACAATGGAAAAATGAAGTGCATCCACTCTGAGCACATAATGAAGTCTTTGTGGCTTGTTACTTAAGGGAATTCAACAAGTATTGATAACTATTGTGAATATTGATGTACTCTGCTTTTCAGAGTCCGAATAGCCCATATATGTTTAAATTGATAGAAAATAACAAGAAAATTTTCATTTCAAAATGGCTCTCACACCTTTATACATGTAAAAGAAATCCATCACCTTAACATGACTTCCGCTTGCTGGTGAAGTCACAGCTAATGTGTACCCAATGAACATTCACAAAGCTGGTATGTGTTAACCAGGCAGTTAGAGGCATTCCCTGCACCATGAATTGCAATCTCAAATTTAAATTAAACATAACCTTCTTCCACCCTCCACCTCTCCAACAAATCCTCCTCGTAGACTTCTCATCCCCACACCCATCCACTGCTCCACAACCTCCTTTGCAACCCCTCCATGCCACACCCGCTCTTGCAGACTCCCTCTTCCTCAAACACTTTTGCAGCTGCCTCCTCACTACCCTGCTGTGGTAGGCAGAATACCCAGCCTTGACAGTAGTTGGCCTCATTCTAGCTGCAAAAGTCAGTCCCCAGCCTTTTCTTCAAAAGGCACACACCCACTGCACGCACAAGCTCCACACATCACGCACACTCCCTCTTATGGAGGTGGCTTTTCTCTGGTCGTTCCATGAGTGAGTTGTCCCAGGCATTGCGAGAACTTTAAGGGCAGATTCACGCACCATACCAATGTATTTTGAGCACTCGTGCCTCTATTTTATAAACCTTCACTTTTAATTTATTACCTATCAGCAGAATGTATTTTCCTACTATTACCTTGCTCAATTGAATCTGCATCTGATGTTTGTTGGGGTCACCACGGTTGAGTTACATCCATCCCCTTGGATAAAGGGTCTGAATATCTGGCCGCTAAATGTCTGACACAAGTCGCCTGTAAAATAAGTTGTCAAATGGAGATAGTGTCACCTAAGTGATTTAGACAGGGTAAATGAGTGGGCAAAAATTTGTCAGATAGAATGTAATGTGGGTAAATGTGAGCTTTTTTCATTTTGGCAGGAGGACTGGAAAAGTGATGCACTGGTTAACTGGAGAGTGGTTGCAGAACTCTGTACTTAAGAATCTCTTTCCTGGTACATGACTTACATAGTTAATACGCAGGTGCTGCAAATTATTTGGAAAGCAAATGGAATGCTGCCATTTATTGCAAGGGGAATGAAATTATTTTGATAGGAATTTGCCGTTGTTTTTCTCTAGTTTTTGTGAACTATAGCCTTTACAATCTGACCACACCAAACTGATATCTGTGCCCTTAGGTCTGAGATAACAGTCAGGCTTTAGTTTCTGATGTTTAGTTACACGATGTTTAGCACCTGGAGTTTCCCTTTAAATTAACTATTGAATTCCAGATTGATACTCCTTTGCTTGCTGTCTTTCCGTTTGCCGTAGTCTCATTCTGAACAGTTTCTATTTTTGATTCGATGTGCAGTTGAATTTGTTTGAGATGCTTTGTATTTTAGAGAAAGTCGAGCATGCCATGGATTGCTAAATTTCTGACCTGTCAGATTTCAACAGGAAGAGCAGCCTGTACTGCTCTAGGCCTTTAAAATTAAAAAATATCCTAAGGCACTTCACAGTGCATTAAAGACAGAGTAAGACACTGTAACACTTAGACAATATTACATACCAGATGACCTCAGTCAGAGGTAGGTTTTAGTGTTTTAAAGGAGTTGGAGAGTAATAGAGTAATAGAAATCTGAAGAATGGAGCCTAGACAACTGTAAGCACAACCACCAATGGTGGAGCCATTTAGAGTCAAATATTTGAGCCCCAACTTAGAAGAGCACTAATATCACAGAAGATTGTGGGAGATAATTGGAGAGATGAAGAGGACTAAGGCTTTTGAGGGACTCGGTGCGAGTTATGACAATGGGGATGAATTTTTGATCACATCAAGTTAGAATATGAGAACTGTAAAATGCAAGAACGGGGGTTTCAGCACAGATCTGATGCAGTGTCAGCTCGTGTTAGAGATGGAGAGAAGTGGTGTTAGTATTGACATGAATTAGGCTTAATTATGACACCAAGAATGCAAACAGTCAGGTTTAGTCTAAGAGTTTCCAGGGAGAGAGACGGATTCTGTAACCTGGGAATTAAGTTTAGAACGTGGCCAAAAGACAACTGCTTCAGTCTTTCCATTATGTAATTGAATGAAATTTCTGATAATCTCACACTGGATGTCAGATAAGTAGTTGGATAATTTTAGCAACAATGTGGCAGGTAAACTAATGACATAATGGAGTGGTAGAACTGGGTGTCCTCAGTGTACGTGTGAAAACTAATGCTATGCCTTAAGATAATGCCGCCAATGGAAGCATGTACATATTAAATAGGAGGGAGCTAAGAAAGATCATGAAGAAATACAAAAGCAACAATGGGGAAGCGGAAAGAGAAGTCGTTGCAAGAAACACTGGCTGTGATTGGATAGTAAAGAAAGGAACCCAAATGGGAGTAATCCCACCCCATTGGGTGACAAAGAGATGTTGGACGAGGACGATGTGATCAAGCATGTCAAAATGCTGCAGCCATCATGTAGGATGTCAATGAGTGTAATTCCATGACTACTGCATTATACCCAGAATCTTCCTGATTGTCCAACTCATTAGATTTGTTTCATCATTCAGTCACTGAGCAGAATGATCAATTGAATGTTGGCATTGTATCAGGAAGAGGATAAATGTATTAATTTACTACTTGAAAATGTTTATTATTATAACTCAGTGTCTCTGAAACTTATGAGGCTGCCTTAACACTGCAAAACATTGTTGCCACTTCTGCTTATAACTCGTCCTGCCAGGATATCCCATGCTTGCCTATCTTGTGCCATCCTCACATCTGTCATCCAGTTTTGTCTAAGTTGATCCTTTTAGCTGCTCCCCTCTACATGGTCCTGTCAAAGAGATCTCCGTAGCTTTTCAGCTTGGAGCAAATGACTGATTCTAACGTTCTCTGTCAGTTTTCAGAGTTCTTCCTATTCTTGCAATTTCAGGTGGCTCTTGATTTGTTTTGTAGTCTGTTTATCCAATTTTTAGCACATGTCTAGGCATTCACTTTTCAAAAGTCTCTATTTTCATCTATTGATCTTATTGTCTGATTTCTGAGGCATACAGGAGAGTAGATAGAATGTAGTATTTTGATATTTATTTCTCGTTAACACATCCTTCATCTGCACAAAAGTACTGTTGGCTATCTCTATCCTTCTAACTTGTGTATCACATCTACTTTGCCTATTTAAGGCAAATAATAACAAACTTATTTGTTTCTTCCGCCGTGACACCATCTATTTCAATCATCCAACACATTCCTCTACCATTGTTTATGCCTGTAAGTGTTAATATTCAATCTATGTTCTAAACTTGTGGATTTCACCTGATTTATCTTCTGCAGGGTCTCTTCTAATTCTGCAAGCCCTTCTTTGTTTTCAATGAACACCAGATTCGGTTCTTGCCTTCAGTTTTTACTCTGAAAGTACATCTAATTCTCTAAATTTTGTTCTATGTACAGATTGAGTAATTTAAGTATATTGTGGATGCATAAATTGAGTGTCACCTGATACTGAAATGAATAGATAAATGAATTCACTGCATTTTCAGTTTTTAATTTGGTAATTACTTAATAGTTTAAGGGTGCGCCATTTCTGATGCAAGTACCATATCTTTGATAATTTGTCAAGAGCTAAAACCGTGATCATCATCATGAATATGGTTGCTTTTTGGTGCATTCTAAGTGTCCCTATCTTTGGGCCAGAAGGACCAGATTCAAATATCACCTGCCACAGAGGTGTGACATAACATACCCAAGCAAGTTGATTCGAAATACTTTAATATGTAACATAGGAGCAGGGAGCAGATCAAGAAAAGATCATTTTGTTTTTGTGACTTGGACAGTTGCTTCATTTTCAACCATTTCACAAGAACATTAGCAAATGTCTGGAACTTGCTTTCATTTGGTTTGAAAATAAGGACTAACTTATTGTACATTGAAACTTATTTGAGGATATGATTTTGAGATGTTATCAGATGGATTATCATATGCATGGGTTGCCTTCCTTCAATAAGTGACACTGGTGTCTACTATTGTTTAGATGTGAGATGTTCAAAAACAGAATCAACAGCGGGAATCCCAGCTCTCCTTACTAGGGACATAAAATAACAGGAAATTGGAACATAGCTCCATCCTCAGGCTTTAGATTGACCTGACCATCCTCCATTCACTGGAACAAATAAATCAACACCCAATATTAATTAGAACTGCTTTTAAATAATTAAGTATGTTCCTGTTTGCCTCTAATACTACTCTGATCCAAAAATCTGAGTCATTTTTAAAGGTGCTTTTATGTAGAAATGTTAAATTCTTTATTTTTTTAATGTGGAAGCACAGGATTTTACAATAAGTGGCCTATAACACTGTCTCTCTCTCTCTCTCTCTCTCATTTGCAGGGAGTTCCTAAAGTGGGTTCTCCTGCTCCATTGCCCAGTCAGCAGACAGTAACCCAACACCTGCAGTCACAGGTTTCCCCAATAGCGGAGCAGTGTACAGGGCCCCAGAGCTCTCAGGTACCAGTGTCAACTGTAGAAACAGAATCTACCAGGAAACCCAACCAGAGTTTCATGTGTCTTTGGAAAAATTGTAAGAGGTCAGTCACCTGTTCCACGTGCACAATAGAACTGCTGTGTTAATTTAGTCAGTATTGTATCTTGTACTTCCTTAAATAGCAGCATGGTGTTCTGCCACTTTTATTTAACATGCCTTTAAAAAAGAGTAAAGCAAGATACTGCAGATGATGGAATTCCTGAAACAACTGCAGACAATACCAGAGAAATTCTGCTGATCTGGCAGCATGTGGAGAGAAGTAGAGAGAAATAGTTATCACTTCAAGTCCAGAATGACTCGTCAGCAGTGAAGACCGTTCTAAAGAGGTCAGGTCAGATTGGGACGTCTGGTCGACGTGGACAAGTTGGGCTGAAGGTTCTGCTTCTGTGCTGTATGACTCTAAGTCACATGGATTCGAAATATTAACTCTGTTTTTCTCTCCACACGTGCTACCCAGCCAGCTGAGTTTCTCCGGCAATTTGCGTTTGTTGTCTTTTAATGAATCATTCGTGAATGTGAAATGAACAGCTTAAAATTTATTTTTCTAGATTTGGATTTTTCTGAGCATTGATTTGGTACCATTGCCCATTCAGTGCAAGTTCAAAGCATGCATATTACTGTCTTTGTTGAACTCATTTTATGAAAGGAATAGTGTGCTTTAGGAAGAGTATATTAGCAGTGGAATAACTGACTCAATATAGAAGTGTTAGAATCAAATCAACAAATAACTTGGCCCACTGGTGGGCCATGAGTTTGTAACGGTTTGAGAGGTTGTGTGTACACATGCTCACATACGAAGTTCTTAATCATAACTGTATTCTTGTGGGAAGTTGAAGAGGCCCAATTCCCTACAGAGAAAATCTAGGGGTGAGTGCCACCACCTACTTCAACCAGCCACCCTGCTCATATTCTCTAGTGGCTGGTTTTTGAGTGCTTTTATCAAGGAACAGATGTTTCTTTTTCTCTCACCCACATTCTGAAGAGTTTTTATCTTCAGTTGGAAGAGGTGTTAAATTGAGACCTTGTCTAACTCCATCAAGATCCCATAAGACCATCAATGACAAGCATGAAAGCTATCCTGGTGTTTGGCTTCTGTCAGTCTTACAACCAGAGTCATGTTTTTAAAAAAACAAACCAATTAGCTGAATATAAATAGAATCCCTACAGTGGAAGCAGGCTGTTCAGCCCATTGGTCCACACTGACCCTTCGAAGAGCATCACACCCAGATCCGCTCCATCCCTGTAACCCTGCATTTCCCATAGCTAACTCACCAAGCTCGCACATCTTTGGGCTGTGGGAGGAAACTGGAGAACATGGAGGAAACCCACGTAGACACTAGAAGAACATGCAAACTCCGCACAGACAGTTGCCTGACAGGGGAATCGAACCCGGGTCTCTGGTGCTGTGAGGCAGCAGTGCTAACCACTGAACTACCGTAATACATCTCATTACCATGTGTAGATTTTTTTTACTATGTATGCAGATTGGTTGCCAAGTTTCCTGGTTTATACTGGGACTATACTTGTCTGCCTCATTGGCAATAAAACTTGTTGGGATATCGTGAAGTTGTGATCAACTTTCTACAGATGTGCAAGACCTCGTTCTTGTTCTTACCGTCTCTGTATCAGACCGAATTATGAATCAGACGAATATTTTAGTTGTATCTAAAAAAGCATTCGAACAGAATTAAGGGTAAATACATTTTTCTGTTGGAGTGCTGCTTTTAATTCTACATGTAAAATTCCTTACCAATCTTTATTATTTCAGAATTTATTGTATGCTCACGTTTAGGTTCTTCTGAAAGAAGAGAATGACTTATTGCAGGGAACTGTAGTATTCATCTGTTTATTTTTCACCTTTCTTCATCAATATTACCCCACCCCCATTATCTGCTTCCCAATGGTTGTCTTCAGCTTTGTGAGGACTTCACCCATCTATTACACATCAGTGGTCTATGTGTATCACTGGGACGCTGGGCTTGAATTCAATAACCTGAAGTCATTGTATATCTGAGGTAACCTTGTTATCCGAACTATATTGGAGTTGTATTGTAATGGCACGGAAAGAAATCATTCTGCCCACTGAGCCCATGACAACACTCTGTAGTGAAGTCTAGTCTGTCCTATTTCCATGCTCTCTTCGTCTAACCTGCAAGTTCATTTTCCTGTCCAAGTTCCTGTGTCAAATCAATTTTCGTTTGAAATGATTGCATACAAAAGTGGAGAATGTGAAGAATGAGTTCCAAGTCATCATTATTGCTTTTTATAAGCTTCTTCCTAACATCCCCATAGATCATGCCCAAAATCTTAACTCTGTGACCCCTAGTCCTTGAATTGTCAGTTAATTGGAACAGCTTTTATCTATCTCAGTTCTTCATAAGTCCCAGTTATAGTTTATCCAACACTTTTTTTTTTTAAATTTGGGGCATCTTGGCTGTTTATTTGAAACACGCACTGTGTGAGAGATTTTGATATGGAGCTTTATAGACCAGATCCAGCTATAGTGGCTGCTTGATTATTAGTTGGTCATGGCAGTGGTGAAACTTGTATTTGGCCTGCATGTTTTCAGACTGTATCAAACAGCCAAAAAATGCCAGGTTTGGTCAGAATCTGTCATTAGTATTTAATTTTCACATAATCATTAGCTGTCTGGAATCAGTTCACTGCATCCTGGAGGTTTAACATTTCAGCAAATCCAATTTCATAATGTTTCAGCATTTCAATGTATAGGAATATTCTTGTTAGTCCCTGCTTAACAGATGGCAAAGCCCAGCTACAACATGTCAGTGTTCCTGATCCCAGCTCATATCTTCTCTGAAGAGGAAGAAAATCCAATTCTGTGAGCCACTCGTTATGGAAGCGCATTGTTGGCAATGTGATAGATCTCTAATTTCCCCTTTTTTCCTGCTAAAAGTATGACGTGTATATAGAAGAGAAAAGAAGATCGTATAACTATGATAATTTTAATTTATAAGATGCCGTCTGCATGTGGACATGTATTTAAAATGTCAGTTTTGCTTTAACTAAAATTTACTATTTGCAGGTGGTTTGAAACACCTTCCCAGGTGTTTTACCATGCAGCTACTGAGCATGGTGGAAAAGATGTGTACCAGGGTCAATGTATGTGGGAGGGCTGTGAGCCACTTCCTCGACAAAGGCTTTCATTCATCACACATCTGCAGGTAGTGTAACTCTTTCTTTTGACAGCTTACTTCTTGGTCCATTTGAAACTTTTTTGAAACTTTGGACAGCTGTGTCTTTAGTAATGAAACCTGCCCGTGTTTTGTTTGTTGAACAGTCATGGTGGGTATAAGGAAAAGAATATGAATGGCTATGCATATGTTGACCTCCTGATTCCATACTGTCCATACCTTCAAAATACAGTGAATGCAGTCAATTTACATGTTCATTGCTGTGCAGGAAATCATGTCAGGGTGACCCAAAACTGACTCTCTTCTTCAGATTGTCCATGCTTAAATGTGATTTTGCTTCAAAGTCCAGATTCCCTTAAATCCTTCTGACTACCTGACCCGTCAAGTTGTTCGAATTGAAATTGTGCCATTCAACTTTGAACACTAGCCATCAAAAGACAAAAGAAATAAATGTTTTATAGCTCGTACTTCCATTGTTAAACACAATAAATGATTATGTTAGCTGTACAGAAGGAAGAATAAATCTGGACTCGGTATGTTGTGAACTGTGATGGAGTAGCAAAACTCTGGTCACTTGGTCTATATCATAGAGTATGAAAACACTCATTCTGTATGTGGAATGGCCTTCAGTCAAATTGAACAGATTTTCATGTATTGAGTTGAAATTAAAAGCACTAAGTATGCTAAGTTCTCCTGAGGAATAGGCATGCATGAAATAGACTTGAATATCTATCAGCTTAAAAAAAAAGCTAAGCCTTGCTAACATTGACAAAAACTTTGAAGCATTAGTGGAAGTAAGGAAGCAGATACTAGTTTCTGCGCTCCTGTGGATAAATGTTGAGAAGATACCTGACTCTTTCCATCTTGGATAGGAAAAGAAAGAATGGTTTCCAATTTACTGTATGGTCAGAGTAGCATTAGAGGCTTGAGAGAAGCTAATCTATTCAAGCTGCATTCAACTTTGACCTGGAAAGTAGTTTTCTGTTCTGTTTGCTATATGATCTCAGATAGCCCATGAAGCTGGAAGCGAAATAATCAATTGGTAAATTTGAACTCTGCAGGGAAAGCTTTTTTTGTTTGTCAGTTATATCTCTTTCATGGATGTACATTGCCATTAAAAGTAATACTTAGGCTAGCGAAAAAGGCAAAATTCTCCACATTTGGTGTTTTTACTGCTTTTTCTAAAGAACAGCCCGGTAAGAATTAAATGGTGTTGATTTAAGTGGTCCAGTTCAAAACTAATTCACTCACTCATTAACTTAATTAGACAGTCGTGTAACTTTGTTCAGTTAGCTGACTATACCAAGTTTGGAAGTACTCTGAAAATAAGCAGATTTCTTTTTAATCTTCCTCTGGTACTTTTATTTTGGATGAAAAAAAATAAAGCTGAGTAGAGTGTGCGTGTGCCACAACAAAACAGTGGTAAAATTTCTGCCTGACTTTAGGAAAGGATGAAGTGACGCAGATTTTTCATGGAAAATCAATGTAGCCTTTTATTTCAAAATAAGCTTCCTTGCTGAGCAGCATTTGATGGAGAAAGGTTCCTCTAAACTGTTATACATGAGCTTACTCTTGACCAGATTTGTTTTTTTTTGGTTAAAAAGCATTCTTCTTCTTAAGTGATAACAGTGTAAGAAAGATCTGAATTTTGGAACGTAACCCCACATCCTGGACCATGGGGGTAAAAACTGTGAATAAGAAATCTGGGTATTTCATTTTGTTGGGGTTGAAGGAGTTAAGTATTTTCAATAAAGCTAACTGATAGATCCCTTAGGTATTATCATAATAAATAAATCTACATAGGCAAGCCTACTTTGCCATTCCGTAAAATCGCAGCTAATCTGGCTGAGGCCATGATTGCACTTTCCTTTCTGCCTGCACCTTCTTGCAATATCCCTTTATTCCTTTGTAGGTCAAAAATATATTCAGGCCCAGCCTTCACTGCTCTTTATGGAAAATAATTCCAAAAACGAGCAACTCTCTGTCAAAAGAAATTAATTCTCTGTCCATCTTAATTGGGATATCCCATATTTTTAAACATCCCGTTGTTCTAGATTCACCAACAAGGTGAAACCTCCCCTCAGCATTTACCATGGCAAACTCTCTCAGAATATTTTATTTCAATAAGATCACTTCTTGATCTTCTACACTCAAGTTCATCCTAACCTACTGATCCTTTTCTTATAAGACAGCCCTTTACATTGCCAACAAGAAGGCTGTTTTCTGGATATCACTCACTAATGAGTATGATCGTTCTTCTAAGAATTCTATGTCACTGGGTTATGGATTCTGTGGATCCTTGTGTGGCTAATGAACCAGATCGTAGAACACACATTTGACAGGTGCTTCTGGGAGTTCGAATTGGTCCGTGGCATCGATTGCTGACATTCCTTTCTCAAGTTCCTTTTTTGTATTTCCTCTTGCCGATGTGTCCTCCAAGAATTGTGTCCCTTTGCATTTGAGATTGCTTCAAGTCAGTTTCTTCTGAGCAAGAAGAAACTGTTACCCAGTAACCTTCTCTGAATTGCTTCCAGCCCTGTTATATTGCTCAAGTAAAGAGACTAAAACTATACTTGAGCAATGTCCTGTAGGTTCCAGAGTACTTCCCTAATTTTATAGTCCATTCATTTGCCTTTCTAATTGCTTGTTGTTCCTTCTCACTAACTTTTTGGCACTTCTCAAACAAGCACATTCCAATCCTTCTGTACAGCAGCATTCTGCAGTCTCTCCATTGAAATGAAATTCTGCTTTTCTATTCTTTCTGCCAAAGTTCAGCCTATATAATACTCCCGTCTCTCAAATTTTTGACTTCTTACGTATGTCTCTCTTCAGACTTTTTTTTGTATCCTCCTGACCATTTGCTTTCCTCACTATCTTTATCACCATGAGCAAATTTGGCTGCAATACAGTCAAACCCCTCACCCAGGTCATTGATATAAATTGTAAGTAGTTAAGGTCAGAACACAAACCCCTATGACATTCCATTATTTTCAGTTTGACAATCTGGAAATGATCAATTTATCTCCGCTTTTTATGTTTATTGTTTTCTATCTCTCTTTCTTTGTTAAGTAAAAGACACAATCGGATCAACTGTGATTCTGAATGGCAAAGCAGGCTTGATTGACTGAATGTCTGCCCAGTTCCTATTTACTGTGATAACACTCAAGGGATCTATAAGTTCTTTACCTACAAAGTTAATTTGATTCTTAATGCTTTATTGAAAATACTTTTCTCTACCTCCTCCACCCCAACAAAATGAAGTACCCAGTTTTCTTATTCACAATTTTAACCCACAGGGTCCGTGCTACAGGGATTATGTTCCAAAATTTATGGTTTTCCTATCTAGTTGAAAATTTCCAAAATCCAGGAAATTCTTGGATGTATTTTTGCATGTTCTTAAAATAGTGCTGTATAACAGATCAGAATATATGTACGTCTTGTAGAAATTAGAGTGGTTAATTGTGTATTTTGAGGATAAGGCATTTGTCAGTCTTTTATTGGTTATGTTTCAATAGGACAAACACTGTTCAAGGGAGACACTGCTTATTGGACTGAAGAGATTGGAGCAGAAAGCACAAACGAGCACCTCTCAAACTGCAGTAAGGTAAGAATCCAACTCTAGAAAATAGAGCTCTTCACTGCTAATAACTGATGTGTGAAGGTGGTGTTAATAGGTTCATACTTTAGATCCAGCTCATGAACCATGTCCTTAGTTGCATCTTTGAGTTCTACAATCAACAGATAACTAATTATTTTCCCAACTCCATAGTGGCAGAAATTAATCCCATGTGAACACTTCTTTTGGGGGGTGGTTTCTCTGCTGCCTACATCGACCACCTTCTGCATTGGACGGAGCCTGGTCAGTCTAACAATGCAGTAAAGGTGAATTCAGGAATTTTTTTAATATTGTATTTTGTTTCTTTTATATTTAGTGTTGTATTTTGTATTGCAGGTTATTTCAGCTAGAAATGTAGTGTTGCTCATATACAGTACAGTATCTCAATTTTTTTGCCTGAGTGAGAAATGCTTGCTGGAACCCAACTCTGGCAACATCATTGATTCCAAAGGGAAATGATGATTCATTTAAAGTCAGTTTGTTTACAGTGTGATTTTCAGGAACACAACCACAATTTAGCGAGTATTTGTTAAACTAAACTCCAGTCAGTAAAACTTGATGTATGGGGAGGTAACAGCTTAGTGCTATTATCGTTGGACTGTTTAGCCAGAGACCCAGGATTCTGAGAACCCAGATGCAAATCCTGCCACGGCAGGTGGAATTTGAATTCTGTAGAAATCTGGAATTAAGAGTCTAATGATGACCATTGTTGATTATCAGAAAATTTCTTCTGGTTCACCAATGTTGTTTCCTTCAGAGAAGGAAACTGTCATCCTCACTTGGTCTGGCCTACATGTGACTCCAGATCCACAGCAATGTGGTTGACTCTGAACTGCTCTCAATTCCAATTAGGCAGTAATACTGCCAAAGATGCCATCATCCTGTGAATGATTTAAAAAACAGTTTACATATTTGACCTTCAGTCTGTTCTTTCTAATCTTATGCAAAGAAAATATCTAAGGCACATGAAAAGACAGCTATTGCAGTTGTTTCTTTCCACTCCATTTCTTATTAAAATCTTGAGTAAGATCCAGCAGAAACCTTTACTAAATTTGGAACAAGATCATTCATAATTCAAATCCCAATATGATTGGTGGTCTTAATTACAGATGTTGAACAGTAAACAAGTGGACAATCAATGTAATCATTCAGCACCTGCCAACTTCATTTTAACGTAATAAAACTCAATGTCTAATCAGTTAAAATGTCATTTGGAATCAAAACAGACTCTCTTGTACAAACATTATACAATCAGCCAGATGCCAGTTTTCAGAGGACTGGGTGCTGAGGTGAATTAGGTACTGTGATACTACCTGGTTTTAGATCTAGCTGCTACTGTTTGTAAGAAAATTAACTGTACAGACATTTATTTACTAAGTTTTAATAATCTCAGCTCATTGTCCTCCATTATTTCTCCACAACTGAATAAAACTGACTCTGTATTAACTGTCCCTCTGGGACAACAAGTGCAACGTTGGGTAGCTGGCACTTTGGGGCAGAGTAGAAAGAATTGAAATAACAGTGCTTACCACTGAGTGCAAAAATCAGCCCACAAAGACCTAGTGATGTATGTGCCTTGGATTTTGCCTTCCTGACATTTAGTTTAAATCTGGCACTAAGTCAAGGTGATCTCAGGGGTTCTGTACCAGTGATATTATCAAGCTGATTAACCAACCAATCAGATTAAATAATTATTCTAAAACTGCAAACTAGGAAGTAAACTACATTATTTATCTTTCACTTTAAACTTCTAAAATTTTATAGTGTGAAATAAATTCTTGGGGCATACACATGGGTATTAAAAGGTAGAAGATAACATCATAAGGTTAAATAGGTTTTAAAATATATGAAATTTTGTTGTAATGCAAAAATTGTTATTTACAAATATAAAATTTGCTTTTCAGGGCAGAACGATTCCTCCACCCCCACCCCCCAAAAAAAAGCAATCACAATGAACTTAGCACACTGTTTAAAAACACTGTTCAATCACATTCATCAAGGTACAAGTTTTTCAAGGTTTTTTACAGCACAACTAATTACATTAAAGTGGAAATTTTGTGATTTCTAAACTATTCTAGTGATTTTTGTTGCTTCATGGGCTGAAGTAATGCCAACAGTTGCCCATCTTTTATTGTCCTTGAACTGAGTGACTGGCTGAGGGAGTAAAGAGTTAACCAAGTTACCATATGTCTGGAGTCGGGTATAGGCTAGCTGAAGTCAGGAGGGCAGATTCCTTTCCCTTTTAGAACATTAGTGAAAGAGATTTCGCAACAGTTGATGGTAGCTTCATAGTCATCATTACTAATATTAGTTTTCAGGTGAATTGAATTGAATTCAAATTCTACCACGGCAGCATGTCGCTAGAGCATTAGCCGGGCCCCTGGATTACCAGTGCAGTGATATTACCACTTCACCTCTCTCTTTAGTCTGTGGAGTTGTTGTCAGAGCATTCTGTAGAGAACTATGAAGTTGCTGTCAGCAACTTCTGGATTTTGACACACTGTACGTTTGAAATCTAGGAGTTGCTCTTAATTTAAGAATTAGTGCCAATAAATGCTGACAGTTTTGCTCTCATTACTGTGGCAAAATACAGGCCATTCTCTGAATTTTGATGTCTTAGATGACTTCTGCTTAAGAGTAAGCAAAAGAGTTCCATAACATTCTAGCTGCATTTATATAGACTGTATCTATCCTAAAATGCTTCATAGAGGCATATTTGTTTTGAAAAAAACAGACATGAAACCGAAGTAGATATTAGGATGACAAATAGATGGATTTTAAGAGCCTCTTAAAGAAGAATGGGAGATAGAAATGGAGAGATTTAAGAAGACACTTCTAGACTGGGGCCTAAGCACAGTTGCCCAGTGGTTGGCAAAAGGAGTGTGGATGTACTAGAAGCCTTAGTTGGATGAGGCCAAAATGAAGGTGGTTGAGAATTTGAGGAACAAGATTTTATAGGACTGGAGGATCTTACGAAATAGTGGACAAAGCTGTTAAAGAATTTAACCAAGCAGATCAAAACTTTGTACTTAAACCATTGGGTGGTTGGGTTGCCGTGAGCTGGTGTAAGTTGTTAAGATGAGAGGAGCTTGGGGCCAAATAAGGAATGTGAAGTAGAGGTTTGGATTGTGCATGGATTTAGCAGGTCATCCAGTGATGGGATCACAATATTTGGGGTGTGGAGATAATCTAGCATGTACGAGGGTCTCCGTGGCAAATGGAGTGTCAGGGCGGAGGTAGATTGCGATGAGTCATAAAGATTGCAGAGTTTTTAATAACTTTTTGGATGTTTTGTACTGTCTTATTTCATCGATTGTAAGATGAGATGCCCACAGGATCTGTATGTACAGCAGGCATAATTATCACAAGTCAAATTGACTTTACTTACCATAGAAATGAGTAGCCTCCAGGAACCTTTTTATAAAAACAGTTAAAATTTAAAGGATATTGTTTTTCTGTGGATAATGGTAATTATCCTGGCTTGACTGTATGACTTGCCATTATATCCTGCTTTGTTAGATTCACAAAGGCCTTTTTGAAACTCCCATCCATATCTTGTTCTGTATTCCATGTTTTACAATCCCCATAGTGATCAATAACTTAAAAAGTAATTTGAAGTTCCAGTGAATGACTGACTGTCTGAAAGGATCACCTGAAAATAATATTTACTAAGCACTATTTCAATGCAACCTATATTCTAAACTACACAAATGTTTTCCTATTTAACGTAATAAATAACTGCACATTTTCCTCTGTGGTTGCATTTTACTGTGTCCCTTCTTCAGGAATTTGTCCAAAGTGATTCTTGGCTTTTCTTCTCCACCTGGATGACTTCTAATCCCTGTCTCACTTTCATGGTGTGGACTAACCTGGAGATTATTGAGTCATACAGCATGGAAACAGACCTTTCAGTCCAACTTATCCATGCCAACCAGATATACCAAGTTAATCTAGTCTCATTTTCCATCATTTGGCCCATATCCCTCTAAACCCTTCCTATTCATGTAACCATCCAGATGCCTTTTAAGTGTTGTAATTGTACGAGCTTCCACCACCAGCTCTGACAGTTCATTCCATACATGCATCACCTTTTGTGTGAAAAAGTTGCCCCTTGGATCCCTTTTAAATCTCCCTTCTCACCTTAAACCTGTGCCCTCTAGTTTTGGGCTCCCCTATCCTGGGGAAAAAATCTTGACTGTTCATCCTATCTGTGCCCCTCGTGATTTTATAAGGTCACCCCTCAGCCTCCAGGGAAAATAGCCCCAGCTTATTCAGCCTCACCCTATAGTTCAAACTCTCCAACCCTGGCAACATCCTTGTAAATCGTTTCTGCTCCCTTTCAAGTTAAACAAATTCTTTCCTATAGCAGCGAAACCAGCAGTATTCCAGTAGTGGCCTAACAAATGTTCTGTACAGCAGCAACATGACCTCCCAACTTCTGTCCTCAATGCACTGACCAATAAAGGCACCAAATGCCTCCTTCACTACCCTTCTCCCTTCTAGCTGAAGTTAGCTGAACCTTTCGGCTTTGTTTGTGACCATTTCTCTCTCCCGCCCTCCCTCGCGCTCACAGGCTGTCTCGGGAACAGCAAACAGTGGATTCTTCCTTTTCTCAAAGCCCATCTCATGGTAGCATTAGGGAGAGAAGGACATCAGTGTCCTCTGGACCCTGGAGTCTAATCAGTTTGAAATTAAATTGACAGTTTCACATTTTAACTGTTTACAGAAACAAATACTTCAAGTCCCTCCAGGGACTTGGAAATCAACAGTCTGTCCTCTGTTAGCACAACTGCTGAAAGTGGTGTTGATGTGTCTGACCTTCTTCCACCTATTTCCCAGTAAGACAAGTTGGTACGTTTTCTAACTTGGTCACCCAGGCTTGTTGGGCCAAATTCCAAGTAGGTCTTGTGACTACTTTCATGTCTCCATTTTACTGTATTTTAAAGAGAACCCCCAAAACGTAATCTTACAAAATTCCTATAAAAGCAATTTATTACTGGAGATCAACTGTCCAAATAACTTTAATGGACTTCTATATTTATAATAGAATAATGATTGCATTAAAGTTCTGTTTTATAAATATTACATATGCTGCATCTAACCCTCTATTTGATTGTGAACTCTTTATAGTTACCCCCTGGACCATTGTTGCATGAGGATATTGGGCCTGTTTTAATGTACAGAAAATGATTTCACAGCTCTTGGTGCTGTATATCAAGAGCATCTTAAACATACTCCTTCATTATATGCGACCTCATCACTTGCCTGGCTGAATTAATTTATTCCCAAATAAATTTATAATTACCCATTATTGCTTTTGGATTACGTATTTTAGCATTGAAATCATGCGGTAGACTGGATATACTAAGCTGTGTCATGATTTTCATGTATCTCAATTTGTTTTCTTCAGGCAGTCTCCGTCAGATGGTACAACTCCAACACCCAAATCTCACAAGGCCTTGGTCAATCACCCCAGCGCTGCGCTAATGGCTCTGAGGAAAGGATCCCGCAATCTTAATTTTAGGAATTACTTGGTAAATATTTCCATAAACCATTTATGCTTTGAGACAAGTTGAAGCAGAGAGCACATACCATACACATAAGAAACAGTCATCAACTTCTAAATGTTACATTAATTTAGATAAAAGGGAGCTGTTTGTGTCAGAAGATTTATAGTTTAGGCTCTACTCCAGAATTTGAGTTTAGTTGACATTTCAGTCTGCTGCTGACGTGAATGCCTTCTTTCAATTGATCATTAAACTCTTACCGCCTTCAAGAAAGAGCAGGGAGTTCTTCTGGCGTCCTGATCAACGATTTTTCCTCAATCGGTATTCACAGTTTGTGATAGCCTGCTGGAAATAAATTCGCTACTGGTTTTATCCACCTAGCAGCAAATGCTGAATTTCAGAAGTAATTGATTGGCTGTGACATTCTCTACCAAGGTGTAATGAGGTGCTGTACACCAGTAATTCAAGTTTGCTGTTTGCTTATAAATGGAACTAACACGAGAATCACTAATAAGATGACACCAAAATTGGAGGTGTAGTGGACAGCGAAGAACGTTACCTCAGAGTTCAACGGGATCTTGATCAGATGGGCCAATAGGCTGAGGAGTGGCAGATGGGGTTTAATTTAGATAAATGTGAGGTGCTGCATTCTGGAAAGGCAGGACTTATACATTTAAGGGTAAGGTCCTGGGGAGTGTTGCTGAACAAAGATACCTTTGAGTGCAGGTTCATAGTTCCTTGATAGTGGACTTATAGGTAGAAAGGATAGTGAGTATAGGAGTTGGCAGGTCATGTTGCGGCTGTACAGGACATTGGTTAGACCACTTTTGGAATACTGCATGCAATTTTGGTGTCCCTGCTGTAGGAAGGATGTTGTGATACTTGAAAGGGTTCAGAAAATATTTGTAAGGATGTTGCCAGGGTTGGAGGGTTTGGGCTACAGGGAGAGGCTGTGAATAGGCTGGGGCTATTTTCCCTGGAGCGTCAGAGGCTGAAGAGTGACCTTTTACAGAGGCTTATAAAATCATGAGGGACATAGATAGGGTGAATAGGCAAGGTCTTTTCCCTGTGGGTGTGGAATCCAAAACTAGAGGGCATAGTTTATGGTGAGGGGAGAAAGATTTAAAAGGGACCTCGGGCAACTTTTTCACGCAGAGGTTAGTGCGTGTATAGTGCAAGTTGTCAGAGGAAGTGGTGGAGGCTGGTACAATAACATTTAAAAGGCATCTGGATGGGTATATGAATAAGAAGGGTTTAGAGGGATATGGACTAAATGCTGGCAAATGGAACTCAATTAACATAGGATATCTGGTCAGTATGGATGAGATGAATCGAAGGATTTGTTTCTGTGCTGTGTAACTCTGACTCTACAACTGATTTCTGGACCTAGAGGGCACTTTTCTCATTGCTCACTGGAATTCCTATATTTATTAAAAACTGGGGAAAAAAATACTGTGGATGCTGTAAATCAGAAACAAAAACAGAAATTGCTGGGAAAGCTCAGCAGGTCTGGCAGCATCTGTGGAGAGAAGTCAGAGTTAACATTTTGGGTTAAGTGACCCTTCCTCAGAACTGATGGTGGCTAAGAAAATATCTGTTTATATGCAGATGATAGGGTGGGGGGAGGGGGTAAGGAGTAAAAGATAGGTGGAGATAGAGCCCAAAGAGAGACAAGAACAGTTGGACAGACAAAGCCAGATCATTATCCACTCCTTTGTCTCTCAAACTGTTCTTCTCTTTCTTTGGACTCTATCCCCACCTATCTCTTATTCCTCACCCCTTCCCCCACCCTATCCTCTGCATATAAACTGACATTTTCCTAGCTACCATCAGTTCTGAGGAAGGGTCACTTGACCTGAAATGTTAGCTCTGATTTCTGTCCACCGATGCAGCCAGACCTGAGTTTCTCCAGCAATTTCTGTTTTTGTCCTTCTATTTATTTCTGTTCTCTTTACTAAATATTTTTAATAATTGGTTATTGCTTAAGTAATAAAAGCTATACATAAAAATACACACACTATGTAGTGACTTGTAAATACTGGTTGCCTTAATTCCAGAAACTAATGGGTGATATAGCACAATGATAACCAGTTGATTGCATGCCAGTGATTAAAGGTGAGTGTCAAATACTGGGCCATCAAGTGATTCCTGGCATTGATTGACTGAATAGTCAATTAACCCACGAGCCTGCGTGATTGTAGCCCTTTCACATGCTGAGGACATTCATAGCCAATTAATTACTTTGTAATGTGTAATTATTTTTGTATAACTTGTCTGTGAAGCCCCTTGAGATGTTTTATGTTAAAGGTGCAGTACAAAAGCAAGTTGCTATACAAACAAATTTGCACAAGGTCATCAACTAACACTGCGATAAATTAAAAGTGAGACAAATTAATCTGTTTCGATTGAGGTAAATTTGCTGATAAGGAAGCTGGGAGAACTCCCTTTCTGGTTTTGGATAGTGCCTTTGGACGGGCAGATGGTACATTGATCACCATCTTCAATAATGTAACATTGCCATCTGCGCTGCTATGTTGAGAAAATCTAGATTGTGTTAGATGAAGTGGAGTTTGAAGCCACAGTCTTCTAAGCCAAGTTAACAGTAAAATCTTTGCAGTGGATGGCATCAAGTTGCATATTGTGGTTACATTTTGGTAAATGGGCATCTAAATTTAATGAAAACTGAAAGAACCGGTGCTGGAAATCAGAAACAAGAACAGAAGTTGCTGGAAAAGCTCAGGAGGTCTGGCAGCATCTCTGAAAAGAAATCAGAGTTAACATTTCAGGCCTGGTGATCCCTCCTCAGATGGAAGGGTCACTGGACCCGAAATGTTAATTCTGATTTCTCTTCACAGATGCTGCCAGACCTCCTGAGCTTTTCCAGCAGCTTCTGTTTTTATATTTAAACTTTATATTTAATTTATGAATGGATAATGTTGAGCATCACTTCCATCAAATGATAAAAGGACTAAAGACTGATGCATAGGCAGGGTTATTACTACCTTGCTTTCTATTATTAGTGGCACCTATTGTAGTCCCCAGTTTGGCATCATCACCATTTCAACCAATAACACCAACACAAAGCAGCAGGTCATGCTTTCTGATACTTCCCCACCACCACCTTCTCCTTTGGACACAAAGGTGTTGATCAATGAATGTAGTTTTTGAGAACTGAATGATTAATTTATTGCTGTATTCTCCAGCACTTCGCTGCATGTGTCTGACTTTGGTCAGATAGCATACCATAGTATCATCTTCAACTGAACACTAACTTAGATGCAACTGGTAGCCAGAGATGTTTCAACCTCAGCTAAAGTAGCTACCTAAACCTGACAATAAGTTGTATCCTAAGCTACAGTAACCGAACCCTGCTTTTTAAGATCAAGACAGACATGAAGAGAAAATCAAGTGTTCTTGGAGATATGGAAAATTGTTCCTAGCTTCATTACATCTTCATTGTGCTGAAACTTATTTCCCTACGTGCACTGCTTGCGTTGTCTGTCAAATCAAAATCCACATCCCAAAAATACCATTGCACACACGGTCTGCATGATAACTTGAGAATAATTGATATGCTTAACCTAAGTTACATATTAGCCAAAGTCCCCTAACTTGTTTGATGTCCAGAAGTTTTATGACACACATCTTTTATGTATAATTTAATTTTCATATGTGCAAGATATTAAAACTTAACTAAAAGTTTAAAGGAATTTACATCTGTTCTACAAATTTATACGCACAAGACATTGCAGATGTAATTGTTTTTTATCAGATTCACTGAATTTATTTAGAAAATTTTTGCTGTTCAGTTGTTCTGATGTTTAAACTCCCACTATACGTTGGAGTAAAGTTTAGACAAATACGCATCCCATTTCTCCAGCAATCAAACTGCTGCAGCAACTAGTTGCTGATGACTTTAAATGCCAAGAAAATATCAAAAGGCATTGTTATTAATGATAATGCATTATTTCAAATCCAAGTTTTTAACTGAATAAACAAGATATTCTATTCAACTTCAATGAGGAACTTACAATTCAAAGGTACCGAAGGCCATTGTATACCCAACATGGGAAAATGGGTTTAGGTTAGAACCAAACAAGATTTTACCCATAGATTGAAATGACCCAGACAGAGTGATACCAAGGAGCAAAGGCTCTGAGCATCTGTACCCTATTACCTACGTTTAGATATGAAAATTTCCTTACTTTGAGTAATTAACATCTTGAGGGGTTGTTGAGATTTCCCCAAGTGATTTACCTACCCAAATGAATCCGTATTGGTTTGAAGGCCTTGTTTGATTTTGGACCAAAGCTGAATTAGTTTGGTATTAGTTGAGATGCTATAATTGGTATCATTATTGCTAGGACCCAAGTAGATGAAAAATCAGTCAGGATCACTTCTGCCTTGTCTTGTGCTGCAATGTAGATGTTCCTGGAGGCAAGGTTGAACTTGATAGTGAAAAGTGTGGAGTGCACAATCTCGCACCATACTGCAGTAAAATACCAATACTTCCTTGTGGGGGAGAGAGAGAGAGAGAGAGAGAGAGAGAAGAAAATTGGGGAAGTGACTGGCCCAAGAGTTCTTTGCACATTCCTGTATAATTTTAAAAAAAGGCCATACAGTTACACCAATGGTGATGCAGAGATGAAACTAAAATTCCATCATTGTAAAGCAGAGGTCTCTTGTCACCCTTTTAAATTTATATTTATCTTGTATAGGTGATTCTCATCTATGTGCATTTCTTTGGCAGGATGAGAAGGAAGGGCCGATTGTGAAGCATATTCGTTTGACTTCAGCCTTAATTTTGAAGAATGTTGCTAGATACTCAGAACTTGGGCGAATGTAAGTTCTTTTTGTCTCTGAAATAATTGATATTGTATAAATAAATATCTTGAGGTTGGTTGGCTCGCCGAGCTGGTTTGTTGTTTTGCAGACGTTTCGTTACCGTGCTTGGTAACGTCCTCAGTGCAGCCTCTGATGAAGCGTCGGTGTGTTTTCCCACCTGGTTTTTAAACTCTGGGGTCCGTTGCAATGGATTACCGGACTTCCGGGTTTCCTCCGTAGTGGAACGTATGTGGGGTCGAGTTCAATGTGTTTATTAATGGCCTGCTTCGTGGAGTGGCATGCTTCCAGGAATTCTCGTGCTTGTCTCTGCCTAGCCTGTCCCAGGATCTTGGTGTTGTCCCAGTCGAAGTCGTGGTTCTCCTTGTCCATGTGGATTGAGATGAGTGATAATTGGTCGTGTCTTTTTGTAGCCTAAAGACCCACTCCCCGCCAGGGACAGGACCAATGTCATCTACAAGATCCCCTGCAGAGACTGCGAGAAACACTACATCGGACAAACAGGAAGGAAACTAACAACAAGAGTACATGAACACCAACTGACTACAAAAAGACACGACCAGTACTCACTCATCTCAATCCACATGGAC